AAATCATAATACAAATAATCTTTGCATTTGACACATCACCTTATCACGTCATTAAGATGTTGCAAAGCACTTCACAGGATTTACTGTAAAGTGTAGTGACTGTATGCGTTTTTAGGCAAACACAGCAGCCAATTTGCACACAGCAATGTCCAAAAACTAGCCATGAAATGAATGACCATTCCTATCTGAGGGATTGTTGGCCAGGACACTGGAAGAAACTCCCTTGTCTTTACAAATCATGGGATCTTTAACATCCACCTGAGCAAGTAGACAGGACTTCAATTTAATGTCCATTCAAAAAATGGCACCTCTGACATAGGTAGCACTCCCCCAGCACTGTACTAGAGTGTCAGCCTAGACTGTGAGCTGAATGCCCCATGCGCAAACTTTATCAGCCTTCCTCAATTCAAGTGTTGTTTATATGAATGTGAAAGTTTTGCTCTTTTTTTCTATTTCATTCCTGTTGTTTTCTTGAACCCCACAGGTCCTCCAGGAAAGAGGACAGGATAGTGTGGAGCCTTCTCCCAGGATACTATTAGTACTGTTCTATCGTAAAAGAACACATTGGACGACCAGCCCTCCTGAAGCTCACCCAGTCAGCAATCGCTTCTTTTATTTTTGTTCTATTTTCGTCAGGGCTCAAACACACCACACACATTTTTCCATTTTACAAGGAATGTAATTTTATTAACAAACAGTGGAGGGAAAAAAAAGATTGTCGTTTAGCTCCACCTAATGATGGTACCAGATATTACACAAAAACATCAAAAGTTATGAAGAAGTCCATCGAGCCCATTCTGCCAGACCATTCCATGTCCTACGTCTTAGATATTTGCAGATTGGCCCATCGTTCCAAAATAGCCACCTTACCATCCTCCCAATTCAGCATGTTGTAAAGTAAAATAATAATCATTTGCTGTGGTACTTTTCAAGTCAAGAGGATGTCTCAAGTGACTTCAAAAGGATTTATGGAAAAGTGGAATGACTTGTTTTTGGTAGGCAAGTTATACCCACATTCATTTAATCTGCTTCCAGGCTTTTAATTTACTTTAGTACATGCAGTTTTCATCTTCGTTACTGAATTAGACCTCTAAAAATACAAATTAGTTGCACTGGAAACAATTCTGATACTGTTGCAGCACCACCTTAATGAGATGTGTTAACCTCACCTGCTCCCTTAGTATCTCTACTGCTCAAGTAACTACACATCTCTCTTAAATCCCTCAATTAATTTCTTATTTATGACTTGGATGCTCCCAATTAGTTAAATTACAGGACCAGATGCAGTTGTCCTGTATCTTAAGATCTAACAAGAAATGAATTAAATAGGAACAATAAGAACGGAGTAGGCCATTCAGCCCCTCGTGCCTGTTTTGCCATTCTATAAAATCATAGCTGTTCTGTGCCTCAACTCCAATAAACCTGCCTTTGCCCCGAATCCTTTGATTCCCTGACCTAACAAATATTTATCCACCTCAGTCTTGAAAATGTGAATAGATCATCATCCATAACGTTTTGGGGGAGAGAGAGTTCCAGATCTCCACTAGCCTCTGCGTGAAAAAATTTGAAATAATTGTTATTCAGAATTTCCTACAATATAAATCACACTTGCAAATTCAACTCCCCCTCCTCCACTGGAAACATTTAATCTTCCCTTTGCACCTCTCAAGCACTGTTGATATTGGGAGATCAGTGTGAGGAGGATCTTGGGCATGAACCCCATATTATCCAGTTCCCCATAACTGCCTGAGTTCTTAAACACCCAATGCCTTGGAACATCCTCCTGACATGAAAGGCACTTTACAAATGTCACTGTTGTTCCCCAGAACTGGATGAGTTCTTAAACATCTGCTGATGGCTAACATTTGCTGTTGCCTTGACGAGTGGAAAATCGCCTTCATGAGTGGAAAATTGTATGAGCCAATGGATTTTATACTTGTTGAAACAATAACATATTTGTATAGTGCCCTTAAAATAGGACAAAATCCTTCAGCACTTGATTAAGCCAGAGGGTGCTAAGCAAAGGGAGGGCTCCCCCCCTCCATTGGTGAAGGTGGAAGCGGAGGTGACCGTGGTTTAAGGCTATGGGGCAAGAGCAGGGAAATTGGATAATTGTAAAGCAAGCCAGTGGGTGAGCTAGTACAAGGCCTGAATGGCCTCTTTCTGTACTATCAATATATTTTGGATTCCCATAAAAATACATAGAGATTGAAAAAGATTTAAATTGTAAATGCACCACCAAGAATTGAACCAGCTGATCATGCTGACACTTTCCTAGTTTCCTACTGCATAAAAGACTATTCCCTTTGGTCTCGAGACACTGTCAATGACGGAAAAGGGAAGGGAGATGAGAAGAAAGACTCTTGGGGCATTGTCCTGAGTGCCTGTGTGCATTGGGAGGATTATATTTTAAAACAAATTAGCTTTGAGGGAATTTGCTCTTGGTGGGTTTGAGACACTTACATCCTGATCTAAAATGTTAAAGGATTTGAATAAAATCTGCTCAACGCCTCGGCTTCTTGAATTGTTAGCATTGGAAATACTAGAGACAGGGCAGATTTCAGGCATTTGGTAGAAATCCAAGCAGTCAAAAAAGTTACTCGGATATTGAACATTTCTTGCTGTCTGTAGGAGGCAAAAAAAATCAGTTCAAAGCTTAGCTTGAAGCAGAATCCATAATGCACTGTACTATTTCCAGCACTGTTAACTTGTGCCAGTTTGAGACACAAAACTGGAACAGGCCATCGAGCCTTCTTCTTCCATAGCCCTGTAAACCCTACCTTGTCAATGACCTCATTCCAGCCATTTTTATTTTCTATGCAAAATGCTATGCATGTACCCCTAATTCTAATTTGCTAACATCAGACCAAAGGGGTCAAAGGTTTCCTGTTCATAAAGTGGTTTTGCTGCCTTTCTCTTGCACAGATACCTCAGTCACTGGGGAAGTTACGGGGATCAACAGAATGCTCTTGTGGAACCATTGCAAGAGTTTCCCCATGTGCAAGCCATTGCCTCTTGCAGATGTACGATTACTGTTAGAGACCGTCACCGTAGGTGAAAGGTTGGGGTGTCAGCAGAGAGGAGGGGGTGCTACTGTTACTCTGCCTTTGCTCTCACATGACTCACTTCACAAATATCAGTGGAACTAATAGTGATCGACCAATGTGGAGTCCTGTATTTGTGGAGTCCTGTAGCTCAGCGGTTAGAGCACTCGCCTTGCAAGCAAGACACCTGGGTTCAATTCCAGGCAGGGCAAAACCTTGGGCAAGTTTCCTTACTCTACATGCCTAATAATAATCCCTCTAAAAACAAAAAACAATAATACATTGGTCATTTTCAATCCACGACTGTTTGTGGGACACTGCTGTGCGCAATTGGCTGCCGCGTTTCGCCCACAAATATACGGTCAATTCACTTTACAATATATTCTGTGAAGCACTTTGAGACGTCGAGAAGACGTGAAAAGCGCTATATCAAATGCAAGGATTATTATTTATTATTTATTTTATCCCCAAACAAAGTCATTAAAAAACCTTAGTTTACCAATCCACACATTCCCATTATTAAAACCACATTTCCTTTGAGTTTTTGGTAACATTTACTTCTGCCTTCTTACCCCCATTGTTAACAATGGAGTTTAATTTGTGGAGGATTAGCATACAGCACATTCTGCAGGTACATGATGTGTTTCAAGCTGACCTTCTAGTACTCCCCCAGAGCCTCCTTTAGCCAGAATCTGGCTTCACAGTAGTTGGAACTGACATTGGATTCTGAGGGGAGTTCAGGCTCAGACAGATAGCTGCAAGATTCACTACTCGCAAATCCTTTCGCAGAACTTGCAAATTAGGCTCCAGAGTCTTGTGCCTTGATCTTCTTCCTGTAGAGATCATGTTGTGAAGGGACAACTATATTCCATGACCAACTATGTGCAAATGTTGTGGGGATCGTTATTCATTGCAAGAGTCTGCAGCTGATGTTAATATCAGCTACCTGGATAAGAAAGAATGGTAAACAGCATTGCGTATGGAGTGGGATAAGAAACAACCAGTTTTTTTGGTTATTAACACTCGTTCACACCTTTGTTACATCCCATTGACTTTTCCAACACACTCCTCACTGGTATCCCTAAACCCACCACTAACAAGTTGCACCTCATCCAAAACTCTGCCACCCACTTCCTCACCCGATCAAAACTCCAGTCATCCAGCACCCCACCAGTCTCCACAGCTCTCAATGGATTGATTTCAAGCTCCTTGCTCTCACCTACAAACCCATCTACTCTCTGACACCTCTTTATCTCTCTGATACCCACTTACCCTACTGTTCACCCCCTCTACTTAGCTAACTCAAACTTGTTGTGGTCTCCCACGTCACCATTGGTGGTTAAGCCTTCAGTTCCTATGCTTCTAATCTTTGGAACTCCCTCCCTTTTACTGCTCTGTCTCACCCCCCCCACCCCTCTTTCTGGCTTAGAGTCCTGCTTCAAATCCTATTACCTCTTCAAACATACCCATGGCCACCTTGCCTCCTCCCCAAAGGCATCCAATCCCATCTCTCAGAAGTTCCCTATGTGAAGGGTACTGAATGCAAGTTGTTGTATATTCTAATTTCAAAATATCTCAAAATCAATGCTTTAGAGTACAAGTTGGACATTTGTACACATTACACATCTGTCAACAGCAAGAAATTGAATTTATACAGCGGCTTGGGATGTCCTCCCGATGTAAGCTGTGGATTGGGATCAGAGAGGGGTGGAGGGGCAAGGGAGGGTGGAGAAGGGAAGATGACCGAATGCATGGTCAAAAAGGAAAGTCTTGAGACAGGCTTTGAATGAGTCAAGGGAGAGAGTGAGACATTGGGTCTCCGGGATGGAGTTCCAGTTGGTGGAGGCAGAAAGACTGAAGGCCCGATCGCCGATCACGGAGCAGGCAGGGTGAGGAACATGGAGCAGGTTGATGCCTGTTAAAAGCATTTGAACAAAGCTCTGATCAGACCATGTATTTTGAATTAAAACGTTTATTGCATGTAACAAAAAAAAACACATACGACCATGATCACTTTGTTTGAACCCAACACAGAATGATAATAAATTACAGATCAGCCTGAGCCGCACAGGGTACCCTCTGTACAAGATAACAGTTTACAACACAGTCCAAATAAAAAAGGAAAACTCGATGCTGGAAATCTGAAATGTGATCCGGAGGATGCTGAAAGCACACAGCAATAAATCAGCACCGGAACGAAGGAGAGAGGCAGATTAGTATTTTTTGTCAAATCCAAATCTTTAGCTTCTTTCTTTCAAGTGTTGATTTACCTGTTGCCCATTACCAGCAATGGATGCCTATTGCTATTGTATTCCTGTTACTTTAAAGAGCTGCTGTAGCACAATGAATGTTATTCTGCACATCTAGGAGCTCAGTAAATCCAGACATGTATCGCATGTGTAACTGATGGATGCAAATGAGAAAGTATTTGGGATGCATAAAGATCACTCAATTCAGCCAAGCGATTTCTTGACACTGAGCCCCTGGTGTGAGCACGTGCTACTCGTGTTCCTTCCTTACAGTAACATCATATATTCGACAGCGCAATTGCTGACTTCAGGAACCGCTTCAAAGGAGTTCAGTAATTCTTCAGAGCAATAAATGTTTTCAGCAAACCCATTTTGGGGATAAATTCACAACACCAACGTGTGAATTCTATGCTTTGTTGCATTACTCTCAAGAGCCACAGCAGTGCAACAAAAACTGGCTTAAAACACATCCGGACCTACAACCACTTAGCCGTCTCCCCCACCCACACAAAAAAAAGACAGTTTGTTAAAGTTTTTTTTCACAAGGACAATGACTTCACAAATAAGAGCCGCTATCCAAAAACTAAATAATAATAGTAACAATTTCTCAATTCATGACGCGTCTGCTTGGGAGAAGGGAATAGACGGGTATGGTGGGAGGGAGGCATTATAAGGGATGGAGGCTCACGTGGAATAGTCGGCACAGATTAATTGAGCCGAATAACCGGTTTCGGAGCTGTGTAACAGTATGTAATTCTATTTAGAAACCCTGATCATACACTTCATGGCCTTTGTACATCACAGGAACATGCTTGGTTCTTACGAGTTGCATTGTGTGCATGCCCTCAGTCACAATGTACTGGTCATTCACTAAGGAGGTATCATTAAAGTTTATAAAACCAACCACCCACTCATACCTTGTTAATACAAGCTTTTCACTATCTTCCCCCTCAAAGGGAGGATTTCAATGCTAAAGTCTTGCATGATATGATGGGGTGGGAGAAAGGATGGAGAATAGAATGAAAAGAAACATTATTAAATCACTAATCATTTGTGATTAGTTCCAAATACTTGAGAAAAAAACAGTTTGATTTTCTACTATTTCAGCTTTCTACAAATCTAAATTTTAACAGAAAAAGAAACATTGAAATTAAGCTTTAATTTCTCAGGAGACTTCAAATACAAAGCTTCAAAACTAACTGCTGTACCACCAAAACACACTACACAATAAATTCTGTGAATTATTAGGATGATTCCTACACAGATATTAAAAAAAGGAGGGGATTTGGGAAACGGACACTTAACATACAGCACATATCGGAGATTCCAAAAGTCCGAATTAGAATCCGAAAGGAATACCTCACCTCAGTTTTGGATCAAGCCCTGAAAAATATACTAATTTCTCAATATACTGCGATCATACAACAGAGTGAGAGGCTTTATTACAAAAACATTTAGGATTTAGACACCACATGATGCAATTATAACACACAACATGAGTTTTCTTTTGATTGCGATCAAAAAAAATCCTTGAAGTAAAATATCCACAGTCACTGCCCATAAAGGAACCTATAAAATGTGTACAGTAGATACTGATGGGTCAACTAAACACAGTGTACAGTATATACACAAACACACACACACAATATAAACTATATAATGCTTTTATTCACAACGTTGTGATCAATGATGAAAGACCTAAAGATCACCAGTGCTTGAAATGCTCCATGGGCGATAATGCAGCTTCTGCTGATACCAGGGAGAAAGTTAAGTTATAAAAACAGTCAGTGATCACAATACAAGGAAAACTGGTTATAAAGCAGCAACATTGTCAAGAGTATTCAGATTCATGATCAGAATTACAAGTCAACAGCTCTGGGAGGCTTGAACGCAGCATATTAAGTGTTGGGCAACTTTTTAAAGTTAACAGCGAGGCTTGTACTCATTTTCTTTCATGCTCAGCGATTCAAATATCTCCCCTAAACTAATTTTCACTGCAAGTCTCCAATGGGTCAAGATGGAAGGTGTGGGCACCAGAGGAGTGGGAATTCTCATGTTCTTAATCTTAAAACCATTCCCTTAATATTTAAGGCTGGTCATAATTCTGGAAAACTGCCTACATTCAGTTTTAATTTGAAACTGATTTTCCCCAGCATCCAAAAAGAATTGTGGAAAATCAGCTTCCAAATTAAGACCACATTTATGTCGGTTTTCCAAAATTCCATACAATTATAAATTTTAAGGTGATGCCCTTAAGCCTAAGCACACTTGGAATTTTGAGTCCCAGAATGCATGGAAAACCTGCTTTTAGGAATGAGGTTGGCTTGGATACTCCTTCCTCCCTATTTAGTCAAACTTGATCTACGTGAACAATTTTTTAACTTGGAAATCACAATTGTATCTGCACAAGGTTGGTTCTTTCCCAGGGACACAAAAAACAATCAATTTAATTTCCCTACGACCCCTCCCACACCAAGGGGCCTTGGATTTCACAATGAGCTAAATAAACTGCAAGATAAACACCCTCAAAATTACAGCAATCAAATAACTGCACAGAAACTAGTTAACATTTTGCTAAGTGCAGAGCAAAAACATTTGCTGGCATTAGCACGTTAGAGCTTAATACCAAAACTGCAATAACATGGTGCGTTGTTCAATGCCAACCCTGCCCTGAGCTGTGATACAAACTTGGAATAAAAAGTCTAAAAAGTGAATAATTCTACATATAAAATATATGAAACACTGGTCTAATATGCAGTATTCCTAGCAATAATCTTTAATAGGAAAACTGAATGGGACTCCTTCCAGGAACCAGAAGTACTATATGTCCTGTGGGAAATCTGCTCTGAAACTGCATTACACTATAGTAATTGAAAGTTGATTTGCGTTATAAGGGACCCAGTTTGAAAGCGCTGCCTATTAGGCTCTATTAGGGTTTATTCTGCTCTCTTTGCTTCATGGAGTGAGTTTGCTGCGATACTTTTAGTGCGCTTCTGTGCCACTTTGACAAACACGACAGATTTGTGTCTGTGCACTAATGTCATTTTAGTTTATAAAATAACATCATATTTGAATCCTCACTATAGTTATTTATAAGAGCACAGAATTTTTTTATATAAAACTCATTGACCAGAACAGAATAGTTCACAGCTGCAGCACGGAGCAGAATAACGCCATGGTCAATTTCTGATAAGTTCCTTTTCTTTGCTACAAGGTGGTGTGGGTAATACGGAGGAACAGGATGCTACAGTCACAAAGTCACGTAGTTTCACAGGCACTGAAACTACAATTCTACTGAACAGTAAAGGCGTTTGGGGGAAAAGTGAGAGAGAGAGAGAGAGAGAGAGAGAGAGAGAGAGAGAGAGAGAGAGAATGGAAGAAATACTCAGGCAGGTTGTCAAGTCAGCCCAAGATTGGGTTATTGTCTGCAAGTTACTGACCTCCACTATTATTATTGTATGGGGGAGTAGAGGATTTTAAATGAGAAGTTTTCTTACAATAATAACATTGGCTCTTTACTACATGATGTAAGACCTCACAAGGCACCAAGTTATTTAGAAACATTTCCTTCTTCCTCATTCTCACCTTATCCATTTATTATTTTTATTATTATCCATTCTTTTTAATGGTGGATTAGCAGGTTACAAGAAAATACATTGATTTTTTATAGTGGCTTACCACAAAAGCCCTTCAAGGGACAAGTGTAGTGACTTGTTTTTGAGGCCAAACGTGACAGCTATTTTCTCACAAGATCCCACTAATAGCAATGAAGAGAATGATCAATTAATCTATAAGATTGTTGACCAGGGCACTGAGAAAAACTCTTAAGTATTGTCATGGGAACTTGAAGAATAGGTGGGGATTCTGTCTTTTCCCATTTGGCCATCGTAGGAGCTCAACTTATATACTTCAACCTCACAAATGCAAATACATCCGTTAAAATACAAGAGCTTTCAAAGAGAAGATCTCAGGAGTGTAACAGAAGATTAGCCAAATTGCAACCTTCCTTTTTAAAGTGACTGCGGGGCAATTTCTTTATCTGTCAGGGATATGAGCTCATGAGAGTTACCGGAATGACTTTAAAGTAGAAATAGCAAAATACCATAAAACTCTTATTAAACCCCAAACTATTTGAATAAAAGATCTTGCCAGAAGGAAGACTAACTGAGCCTCAGAAGTTTTGGAGAGTTTACACGCCCACCATTTGAAAGCTGATCAATGTTGTACTGAAGATTACTGCTGTAAGGTTTACTCACAAGACAAGAGAAATATCAACAACAAAATGCAACCCAAATAAGCTGCCAGAACGGTTCTTGCAAAACAAAGGCTACCCTGAATTTCCAGATATTCTTCAAAGCAGCAACAAAGACTTGTTTGTATGCTTCTCCGCAGTAACATCTAAACCTGGACAACGAGACAATAATATTGACGGACATTGCAATTTTATTTCTAGATGCTCATTTCAAGTATAGAAGGCAAAAACAGGCTGCTTGATCTTTGGAACACAAAACAGGGCTCATTAAAAATAAAAGTGGGAGAGTTTTACTGACAAGTTTATGTTGCAAAAGCAGGATTTCTGCCTTTCTTGCCCTTCTCTATCTTCCTCGCATTTGTTCTTACAACATATAGTAGTTGTCCACCCTAAGCTTTGCAATACAATAAACAGAAAGATAAAAGGTATACCACATTGCTGAGGTCCACTACACACAAGCTTTTCACGTCTTGAAGAGACTTTGGGTAACTGACCAACAGATTTCCACAAATTCCACAAAAACAAAGACAACAGGGGAGTTCCAGTATATTCGGCACTGCCAGGTGAGAACATGGAATTCTTCACTGCTCTGGAAATAGACTTAGTATGATGGTGTTAACTCACACCGGTGAGGCCCATAAGCTTTCTGACGGCAAGGGTGTCCATCCTCACCACCAATTTGCTGGCACTCACTCTTGTGGGGACCACACTCACAAAAAGACATCTAATGCACCAACCCCACATACATCAAGGTCTACAGTTCATGGCTAGCCAGTGCACCATAGCTGCCATCTCACATGAAACAAGGTTTGTTTCAGGAAATTTGTACAAAAGTTATAAATTACTAAAAAAAACTCTAATAAAATAGTGTTACTGTTGGATTAGAAGTGCAACGTAGAGTCTATCAGACGGCGAACCCTAAAAGAGCTTTTTTGTAAAAAAAATTATAATGGGACAAATAGGATTAAGATTGCTATTTTTAGCAATCTGCATACTATAGACTTCTCAGAGTTCAAGTGAAATGTACAGATGTTTTGAAGCACTGGGTGTGCACTCAACGTGTCAAAACATTTCACAGGTTCTCTTGGTCCTCTGGAAAAAAAAGATTTTTCTAAAATAACTGAAGTGCCTATCTCAGCTCAGGGGAAAATCTGCAGTGCATGGTGAGAGCCAACCCCATTTGGTATACACTCATCATGCACCTCCTGACTGCCACTGTACCAGCTGTCAGGTTCATAGATAAAAAGACCGGAGATTTATTTTAGAAAGACAGGATTCCTGCATTTCACCAAGTTTAAACATATGCAATATTTTTAATGCTAGTTTTCCTTTAAAAAAAGCATTTGACAAAATATTTTCATATATCCAGCATTAAAAATAGTTTATTGTGTCCTATATTGTGTATAATTTTAATATATAATATATATATTTCTATAAAGAATAAGGCTTTGGTTCAAACCCAGTTGCTATTAACAAATACAGCATCAAGTGAACCTTTAAACTGAGTAGGTAGAATCACATGATGGTACAGTGTGTCGGAACAGACCGCAAATTGAACGCCAGTTCAGTTCACCTCTTGCCCCTCTCTCTCCCTCCTTAAACAAATCTTTGACTCAATTGAGCTGCTAAGAGGAATCTCAAGCGGCCACTAGCCACAGGGTTGGGATGTGTGGGTCCGGTGGGGTGGGGAAGAAAGTAAAATTTGAAGGGGTCAATCTCTGGGCTTTCTTGAGTCAGCAAAGACCAAAATTGGCAGACACCTGGGAGTAGACTACCTCAACTCCCATATGCGTAGCCCAGACAGAGACGCAAGGACTGGGGGTGTGGGGGTGGGTTGGGGTGAGAGGGCGAATAACAGAGTTTTGTAACTTAAAAATAATCCACCATCTAAGTAAACAGGATGCGCTCGGGAGTTTCCAAGAATCATTTATCGCTTTGTTAAAAAATATAATTATTTGCAGTTGTTGAAAGAACAAACAGTATCAAACCCAATGCTTTGTTGTGATCCCGCTTCTTCCATTGCAAACAGTAGGACCAATGTGTTTCTTCTCTCACACTGGTCAATACAAAAACAGTGGTACATCTTTACTTTGCAGAATATCCACAGGAGCTGGTCAATGTTGAGGGAGGTGGGAGGGGAGCGGAATGAATAATGATTTCTGATCAAGTTTTCCTAAGAGCAAAATGAAACCCGTGTTGCTGGCACTTGAATCTCTCAGCAAGTCGCCGAAAGGACTCACGTGGCTCGTTCACTGTCAGGCAGATAATCTGTCGAGGTGTCAAACCACTGTGGGTTCAAGCAGCAAACAAATAAAGACCCCATCGCTGTCCGCCACCGCTGTGACATTGGCTGGCACTGCAGGTAGCAGCTGTTCATCCAGACTTGTCACCCTATTCATCATCTACGAGTATATAGTGATCACCTCGCTGCCACACCCTCGGATCAACAGCACTCTGTCCAGCCCCTCCGTCAAGACCTCCAGGAACTCCATATCTGTGAAGCATTCAGTCAAGGTTCTGACTCACCAACAGGTCCAACAGCAGGTGCAAAATGTTTTGTTTTAAAAATAAACCCCTTCAAAGCTATTTAAAGGAGCAACACAAATAAAAGCGACCAAACATCTCCTTTAACTCAGAGGTATTGCTGCAATTTTGATCTTAATATTTCCCTGAAGGACACACGTTTCTTTTATAAAAGGTACGTCTGTCTGTAAATTAAGATTTCATGTTGCAAATTAGATTACAGAGTTAACTAAACTTTCTTCAGGACCATTACTGCAGAAATTAGCAGATGGTTTGAAAATCAGGAATTTATCAGCATTTCATATAGCGCTTTTCACATTAGGAGAGATGTCACAAAGCACTTCATTGTTAAGTTTAGTGACTGTATTTTGTAGGTGAACACAGCAGTCAATCTGTATACAGCAATGTCCCATGAACAGTCTTGAAGTGAATTTTATTGGGGGGGGGGGATTTTTGGTCAGGACACAGGGAGAAACTCCCTTCCCTTTTCAAATATTGCCACAGGATCTTTAACGTCCACCTGAATGGGCAGGAGGGACCTTGATTTAACCTCTTAACTAAAAGACGGCACAATGCAGCATTCCTTCAACACCCCATTGGAGTATCAGCCTAGACTCAGCTCAAAGTCCTGACGTGGGACTTGACCTCACAACTGAATTGAAGTCAGAGTACTTGTTAACTGCAAGGAAGAAGTCCTCCATGATGCTCAAAGGTTAAACCACATGATAGCAGTCAAATCTAAAAGGATACAGTTTTCGTCCCCTTGCTTATTTCTGGGGGGACCTGGCATATTCAGCAACACAAGTCTTGCGTCCTGAGACTTGTTGACGACAACTTCATTGAGTTTCACTGCAGTGTGCATCCGCCGAACATTGGACTGATTCCTGATGGAAGGAAAACACGGTTATGTTTTTTTACCCTAGCTCATCAAAGCTCATAGTTCTTCAGCCCTTTATCCTTCAACTGGTTAAAATTAAGCCCAGGACTCAAATATGAAAGCCACTGTGAAAATATACAGCAGCTCCTGCTGTGCAAACACCTCCCCCCACCTTCACTCCTGGCTTGATTTTGGTGGACTTTTCAGAGCAGCCAGGAATGGAGCTTGTCAGACTTCATAACACGGTAACACCACCCTTTTAAGGTTCATTCAATTGCAGGCCAATAGCATCCACAGAGCTCCTTTATTGTATTGGCACACATATACGCAAATACAAACGCACACACACTTGTGATGTGAGAGCTACTAGAACAATTGATTGAATATTTTCAACCCAAAGCACAGATTAGTATGCAGCAGAGAATCCTTTCCATCCCACAAGAGGTCCCAAAAGCTTCATGCCTTGCAAGTTTAAAGTGCCTGAGTTTAGGAAGGGAAATTCAACCAGGATTCCCACCCGACTGCTAGTCAGCAATCCCAGCTGGACGTCAGTCAAAGGAGGATTAGGCCAAGCTGTGATCAAGCAAATCTACGAAAGTCACAGTCAAGACTCCTAAGCAATGGCCAATTGGCTTGAAGTACTGGCAATGGAACCGTATAATAGTAAAAGGAACCAGCAGTAAAATACATTCGGGAAGAGAAGAGGCGTAAGAGGGAGAAAACTGGTGAATTACAATTTAATTTAAAAACAAAATGCAAATAACGTTGTGCACCTAACACGCAGTTATATACATTCTTGTTAATGGCGCAAGAATTCCTCTCGTTCCCATGGCTGAGATTGAATTGGTCATCAGCAAAAAATAGAAAAGTTCTCTTTCACTCTGGGAAATAATTTGAATAAAGAGCAAACTCCCTCCACTGCTAATGGCCTCCCATCATAGAAGCAGTATTGTCACAAGGACCGCAGAGGTTTAAAGAGAAGGCCTCATCACCACTTTCTTCGGGTGATAAATTCTAGCAAAATGTCAGGGTCACCTACATGATAAGACAGGGTTAAAAAAAAGAAAAGTTGTCTGGAGCACTGAATGTTATTGTAGAATCCATCATGGGCTGGAAAGGCTTCAAACAAATGTGCAAACATACAAACACAAAGAGAAAATTAACATTAAATGTAACTTACAGATTTTCCCATTCTCTGAAGCATCGGATGGAAAAACAAAAGACAAAATCATAGCATTATTACAAGATTCAACAATAGTAAGTGCTCTACACATTTGCTTCCTTGTCTGAGAATAACAGTTGACATAGCATACATTTTTACATGATAACTACAACAACAACAACTTGGATTTATATAGCGCCCTCCACCCCGGACGGCGTCTCAGAGCGCTTCACAGTAACGGATCCCTGGGCCGAGCCGGGGGAGAGGGAGGAAGGTGACCAAAGGCGTGGTCGAAAAGAAAGGTCTTGAGCAGAGAGCGGAGGACTAGGGGGACAAGGAGGAGGCCAGATCCAGAGGAACAAAGGCAATGGGCACTGTTTTGAGGAGAGAGGTCAGAGAAGTGGAGGGATTTGAAGACAAGGGTGAGGATCTTGAAGTCGATCCTCGCTGGGACAGGGAGCCAGTGCAGTCTGGCAAGGACTGGGGTAATCGGGGAGCGGAGTTTTGATGCGGGTGAGAATGTGGGCGGCAGAATTTTGAATGATCTGGATTTTATGGATGGTAGTGGATGGGAGACCGGTGAGGAAGGCGTTTGAATAGTCTAGCCGAGAGGAGACAAAGGCATGGACCAGGGTAACTAGATCTTAAATCACATTATGAACAACCCATGTGCACTGCACTGACTCCCAACTATTTCAGGACTGCCTGACCTGTGGTTTGGTGCAATTTACTAGCCACTTGTGGGCAACAAAAGCCATCAGAAATGCAACTTATACCAAAGGAATCTGCACCCCTTGTACATGTGATCAAACCTGCCTCAGACAATGCCCAGGTGAATATCTGGGTTGGAGGGCAGAACCTCCAGCACTTTAAATGCACCCAAAGCCCCATCCCTTTACATTCAGGTAGACAGTCTACTTTTGCGTCTCTCTGATCACTCGCCCAGCAGGTCGGGGTCACGCTGAGTCTGCTACAGCTGTTAAAATAAGCAAGGGTTTTATCCTTTGTGCCACTGAGCTCTTTTCCAACCCTAACCAAGTCAGTTTTTGAAACAGTACTTTGATGAGAAGGTGAAATACCATCCCAACCTTAATGCAACTAACTCCCCGGCCATTTAGGTGCGTTGTGAATGTGTGCGTGTGTGGGGTGGTAGCGGGGGCGGAATTGAATAGTTCCTAAGTCCAAAAGGAGACACATTTGTTTAATTTGTATAATGTGAGGTCTAATCTGTTGTATTTCTTAAAATTGTGCAAATGGGAGTTTTCTCCATTAATCAGAAACGTGTCAACTAAATGATGGGAACTTGGTACCAATGCAACTTACATCTGAAGCAGAGTTCCCATTGGTTAGCAATATTTTCTTCGAACAGGATTTCTTAATGAGAAATCAAGTTTGAAATCTTGCAAAGAAGTGAACTTACGGTTTCATGTTAAAAATATCTCTGATGCCTTCTGGGGTTGAAGTGTCTTTATTTTTGTTCCTCTCTGCCAGGATTTTCTCTTTGGTCCAAGTCATGTGCACCTTGTCAGGAGCAAGTGTAGTGCTGACAGCAGCAGAGGAGTGGGCAGCTGCATTTCTGTCATGGATCATCTGAGCCTTGGAAAAGGCAAGACATAATAATAATAATAATTAATCCTTGAATTTGGTACAGTGCCTTTCACCTTGGGAGGACATCCCAAAGCACTTCACGGTATACAGCTTAAACTGGAGTGACTGTGTCTGTTTTGTGGGTGAACACGGCAAACAATTTTATTTGGGGGATTGTTGGCTAGGACACCAGGAAAAAACTTCCTTCCCTTTTTGAATAGTGCTATGAAATCTTTATCGTCCACCTGAACAGGCAGACGGGACCTCAGTTTAATGTCTCAGCCGAAGGACAGCAACTCCGACATTGCAACACACCCCCAGCACTGCACTGTAGTGTCGCTTTAGGATTATTGGAATTACCAAATCCTGATTTGCAGCTTGAAGCCACAACCTTCTGACTCAAGAGGCGAGAGTGCTACTAACTGAGCCAGGCTGACACAAATGACATCCTGCTCCACTTCCAAAGGCCCAGAATTTGGGATCTATACTTCACATTGTAGTCTTGCTGCACAGCAACCTCTTAAATTGCACATCAGATTACATTTCTGCTTGATAGCCATTTGCAATAGATCAGGATCATTGTAATAAATGGAAGCCACTTACCTCTCGCTCTCGCTCGTTCTTCGAAAGCTGCATCTGCTTCAGCATCTGGGACCTCTGTTCCATCACCAGTGTCCGCTCATAAGTGAAGGCTGAAATATCGTTGTCAAGCTGGGAGGAAAAGGAGAAAAATGAAAAAATGCACTAAAGAGTTAATATGCCCCTTACTGTATCCACATTAGTCATGTCCTTGGACCTTGGGACATCAATGTGAAAGGTGCTATATAAAGGCAATTTGTTGTTGTTTTGTGCAATTTGCTGTTGTCGTCTCCCCCAACCACCAATCTACGTAGTCATCAGTAAAACTTTGGAGAATATTTTTTTTAAATTTATTTTATTCCTGTCAAACACACAAAACCTCTATGAAGCATTCGGGTATTACAGTAGATGATGAAATACCTAACAGCACACATTTGTTTGTGACGCTCTCTTACCATCTCTACCACCTCAACCTCAGCGTTCAGCCGGAGCTGATACAGGAACAGCTGCAGGTCCTTCTTCATTTGGATGCTGTTATCATCGATCTGAGCCACAGTGAAGATGCGCATCTTGCACTTCCGCCAGACCTGTAACACAGCCACCGGTTAGGCTTCATGAGGCGAGGGAGGGAGGTCTGTGTATTCCCAGGGTACAGGTTGCCCTCCGACCCATACGAACACACCTCTGTGCTCCGCCACTGTCAAACTCACTGGGATGCTACTCTGTGTGAGAGGCGCTATATAAATGCAAATTGAGTTGTTGTTCCTCCCAGGGTATAGGTTACCCTCTACTCCCCCCCACCCTATCAAACCTCTGTGTGTTTCCAGTGTATCGTTTACCCACTAACCCCTATCCCCCAATTACCACTATCAACCCTCTGTGGGCTCCCAGTGTGCAGGTTCCCCTCTGTGGGCTCCCAGTGTGCAGGTTCCCCTCTGTGGGCTCCCAGTGTACATTTACCTTGTGCTGGCTCAGGAGGAAGGGCAGCAGCATCAGAAGTCCGCCATCGTGGACAATCCACCAAATATCGATGTTCCCGCCGTTGAAACGCTCTTGGTTTGTGGGGAAGGAATCAATGTTCTTCGCCACCATCAGGGACAGGTGAGCAGACGTGGTCTCACGAACTACATCTGCAACAAACGCGTGTGCATTTAGTCACTCTCAGCACCTGGCCTGACTCGTGCTGCTTAGGCACTCTCAAACAGGACCACAGATAACATTAGCTATATGGTTTCAGTATACACACTGTGGATCACATTAACTGTGTGGTTTCAGGAGGTACAGGCAGTCAGCTCAATACCTACAAGCTTCCTATAAGGTACTCTTCGATTAGTGTAGGTGTCCATGTTAATTTAATTTATTCTGCGAACTATATGCTTTCATCTGGCTGAATTGGATGACTAGCGGCAGAGAGCTTGCAGTGTTATATTGTATCCGATAGTATACGGTATAGATCATTTAGCCCTTTTACAAGTTGGACTGCAGAATGGAAATCACAATTCGCAGTTCCTGTCCCTTTTGCAAATATCAGTTAAACTCAGCGTCTGATAGAGGCGCGCGAAGAAAGGCATGTGCACTGGAAAGGGATAGTTTAAAATCGTGAGAACCCTGTCAAATTACTGGGCCTGTTAGAACTTTTACTCGACAAGCTCCCAAACCAGAAAGAGTAAAGATTGTGAATTGTGGCTCACCCAGTTTCTGTACCAATATTGCACAGTCTCACACTGATCAATGCTAAAAGCAAATAGTGAGTGCCCTCTGCTGTGTGCCGATAGAAGTGCAGAGATACTGAAACAGTGCCACCCCCCAGTTGGGCCGCAGAACCTTCATGGCGGAACTACAGAAAATCCGCCCGCTGGACTCCCATCGCTAAAACAGCAATCTTTTCATTACTGGTTAGTAATTAGTGGGATCACCCATTGTAAACAGATAACCAATGCCTCACTATTTAGCACTGGGTGAGTGATACAATTCTCTAATATCAGTACTCTTTCCTTTAAAGGACTGATAAACTCACAATTGTATGATTTCCAGAAACATATATATATATATATACATATAATATATACATAAACATTTGCCACAGTAATGAGATGCAGCTATAAAATTCAAGGCAAGATATAAGGTTCCTTTACACCTGTTATTATTTTAACATGCAATGCCATGCCATCTGGGTTTTTCCAAATACAATTCTTTGCATTGCTGTAGAACGGACAGAATCCAGCCAAATGCCTTGCGGAAATAGTCAATCACGTTTAAGAAAAACAATGTTTGACTTGCTCGCCACTCCTCTGACAGATAGAGAGAGGAGTGCTTTTACTCATGGCCCTGTGAGAAGAGCACCGATATACTGACCAACAAAGATTCTCCAGCAGTCAGGAGTCTCCGTCTGCCTCCAGAGATGGGGCCACGCCAAGAGCACAGTATTGTGCTTCATTCCTCCCAGACCTGAGGATTGGATCAGGTGGGATACTCCGTCTCGCAGATTGGAGGAGACCACCACTTGGCAGAAACCTTTTGTCTTTTCCGTGCTCATCAAGGACTTAATATTCTGTCAAAACAGTGAGCATTACACATCAGGAAGATCTCAGCACAAGCGGATAGGTTACACAAATTGAGCATCAATTTTGCAGGATCTCTTAATTAAGAAATCAGTGTGGGTGACTCCTGCAAAAGGTCATACGAGTACCTCTGACTCAATGCTACCCGCCTTCAAAAATAGAGTTGGAACAATGTCCCTGCAAGTCACTGTCACTCATTTTCAAATTTCTGAGGCAAATCCAATGATAAATACACAAAATCAATCCCATTAAATCATACAGCGAGATGTCAGAGACGAGGCGCAAAACCTTTTTAGAACATTACCTGAAAACCCAGGAAAAGCTTCAAATACACAGTAATTTCAAGAGAGTAGATAAAACCAAGAGAAAGGTTAGAAGGTTGTGTTTTTTTTACACACACACACACACACACACACACACACACAAAGAGTATAATGGCCCTACCACAAAATAGTGGTTGAAAGTACAATCTGAAAAACTTTTCAATAAAATTAAAATAGAAATACTGGCATAGAGCCTTGTTGCAGATTATTTTCCTAAATACTTTGTGGTTCCCTTCTTAAACACTTCAGTCGTTTGTATATCCATGGCTTTGAGCCTACGAGTTGCAAAAGTTGCAAGAGGGGAGAATTGTTTTCTGGTTTTAAGGTTATGATCTTTTATTTTGGGATTCACATACAAGGAAGAGTCTTTCCCTATCCATCTTGGCAATTCCTTTTGCCATTTTAAAGACCTTAATCACCCTTTAACCTGCTCAGATCTGGAGAATAAATCCCAGATTTATCCAAGTCTCTCATCACAGCTAACTCGCTTAATCCCAAGTAATATCCTGGTAAATGGTCAATGGACATGCTCCAAGGCTAGCCTCGGCCCTTCTGTCTACTATCCCCTCCCTATCTCCCCCCTCACACCCCAGCCCCTGCCCATCCCTTTCTCCATGCCTTTGAAACAGGCATGCCCATTCCTCTCTCATCACCACCATAACCCGCATGAAACCAATCACCTGGTCGAGCCCATCCCTACCCCACTCCTTAACTCCCAGCTCCACCGCCTTGTCCCTCTACTCACAGATATAATAAACCTCTCCCTGTCCACTGGCATGGTCCTTAAAAAACTGTCATCACTCCTATCCTTAAAAAACCCTCCTTGGACCCTTCTCTACTCCCAAACTACTCCCCCATCTCCAAACTCCCTTTCCTCTCCAAGGTCCTGGAACAAGTCATTGCTTCCCAGCTTCGCTCCTTCCTCTCCCAACAATCCCTTCACAAAGCCCTCCAATCAGGTTTCTGTGCCGCCCACAGCACAGAAACAGTCCTGGTTAAAGTGACAAATTACATTCTGTCCATCTGCGATCAGGGCTCCCTCGGCCTCCTCGTCCTCCTTGACCTCTCTGCTGCCTTTGACACCACTGACGACTCTATCCTCATCTGCTGCCTTTCCTCTCACCTCATGGTTCTGTCCTTGAATGGTTCAGATCATACCTTTCACACTGCTTCCACCTTATCTCAACGTTTCTCCTCTAGACCCCAAACTGTCTTGTGCAGCATTTCTCAGGGCTCTGTCCTTGGTTCCCTCCTCCTCAATATCCATATTCTCCCTCTTGGTGGCATCATCCAAGGGGTCAACTTCTACATGCATGTGGATGACACCCAACTCTACCTCTCTGCCTCCACCCTCGACTCCAGGATCACTGCTATCCTGACAGAATGTCTGTTAGACATCAAGTCCTGGATGAGAGCTAACTTTCTTCAGCTGAAGTTCAACAAGACCGAGGCTCTCCTGATTGGCTCCCGTCAGCGCCTCCTCACCTGAGGCTCTGACAGCATCACCATCCATGGTTGCACACTCCACCTTGCTAAGCCAGTCCAGAATCTTGGCGTCTTGTTTGACCCTCAACTATGCTTTCTACCCCACATCCATGCCATGATCCACTCTGCCTTCCCCCATCTCCGCAACATCGCCAAACTCCACCACTATCTCACACCACAGGCTGCCAGAACCCTCATACATGCACTCATAACATCAAGGCTTCACTATGCAAACTCCCTGCTTGTCGGCCTCCCCAACTCCTCCCTCCATAGGCTGCACATCATCCAGAACTCTGCAGCTATGTGTGCTCTCCCGCACCAGGCTCCGTGACCCTATCAGCCTCATCCTCGCCTGCAAAGTTCTACATTGTGGTGATCACTTTACTGATCAACACATTGTAGAACTAGCTTCCCATCACACAGAGGGTACAGTTCAAGATCCTGGTCATCACCTTCACAGCTCTCCATGGCCTTGCTACCCACTTCCTCTGCGTCTCCCTAACTCTCCACCATCCGGCCCGCTCCCTCCGCTCAGTAGGCTCTGGCCTGCTTCATATCCGCCTCCTCGCCTGGCCCACTATCGGTGGGAGGGCATACTGCCACTCTATCCCCACTCTCTGGAACTCCAACCCGCAGTCTATCCACCTCACCCCCTCTCTTGCCTCCTTCAAGACTCATCTCAAAACCCTCCTCTTCGACGATGCTTTCGATCACCCTGCTTCTCCTGCCTTCCACCCTTCCCAATCCTGACCCCCAGCTCGGGTCCGAAACACTGACTGTCGAGTGCCTTGTGATGTCCTCCCGACGTGAAAAGTGCTATACAAATGTAATTTTGTTGTTGTTGTATTCATTCTAACCTTTCCTGAGAGCTTATAAATTCATAATAGCAGAATCATCCTGAATGCTTCTCTTTGTACCTTCTCAAGAACTCACCCGCACAAAACTCCGTACCCCCATCACAACCGTCCTTGCCAGGATCCACTGGCTCCCAAATGCTGAACGGATCGATTTCAAGATCCTCTCACTCGTTTTCAAATCCTTTCATGCTCTTGCACCTCCCTATGTATCCGATTTACTTAACACCCACTCCCCCACCCGCTGCTATGCTCGGCTGGCTCCAGCCTCCTGTTTGTTCCTTGCCCACTCCGCTCCACCATCGGCAGCCGTGCTTTCAGCTACTACGCCCCAAAGCTCGAGCACTCTCTCCATCAATCCCTCCGCTTTGCCCCCCTCCCTCCCCACTTTTAAATCCTCCCTAAAGACCTTCCTTTTTGACCGTGCTTATGGTCACCTCCCCCTGGCTCGGTGTCAGACTCCACCAATGTCAAGCGCTCCGAGACTCTACCGATTTTGAAGCTCAATTGAGGACAAGATGCGTCCTGGAGGGGAAGTCTACCAGTGGCAAAGTACCTGATCAGCTCTCTGGACTTCAGCATGCTTCTCCAGAAAGGTTCCTTCAAGCACAGAGCCAATGATGGTCAGCCCTTTGCCAGCCTTGAGCTGTGTAGTGAATGACAGAAGACGGGGGTGCTTTACGTTCTGATCAGCATCCACGTTCAACAGGATCAAGAGCTGAGGCCTGGGGCGTGTTTAGAAAAAACAGAGTTACATAAAGCAGTTTTGTCACGGCCCAAATCCCTGCATTATAATTTACACCTTCTCTTGAAAGGGAATTCTATTGAGGTGGTGGGGTGGGGGGGAAATGGGAGGAAAAAAGGTTATAAAAAAGAACAAAAGATTATATTTGTTTATTTCTCTACCCACTGGAGTGGTACCTATAATTAATTGGTTTGGCACGCGGTTGGATTTATTGTCTAGTAATTGTTTTTGTATACAAATGTTGCAGCTGTTTTGTGCACAGCAAGGTCCCACAAATAGCCACAAGGTGAACGTCTAGTCTAACCTAATAATAAGACATTGTACTTCTCTTTTTCAATAGTCCCAAGGATCTTCAATGTCCACCTGAACAGGCAGACGGGACTTCCCTCAGTTTAAAGCCTAATCCAAAGGAAGGCGCCTCTGACAGTACAGCAAACCACCAGCAATGCACTGGGGTGTCAACCTAGATTAAGAATTTACGTCCTGACATGGGGTTTGAACCCACACGCTTCTCACCCCGAGCTCAAGGTGCTACCAACTGAGACAGTTATAGTCATTCTTCAGTTAGAAATAATACCAAACTTGAGGACATGAAGAAACGTTTCTAGAGCTAGTAGACTCTCACCTCCAGTTCTTGGTGTGTGGGGGCCCATCTTCCAGCCGAAGCAGTGCATAGCGAGCGGCATTTAGAGACAAGCCCCTTATCCCGTCACCCCATTCCTTTTCAGCTCTGAAAGAAAGTGGGAAAGAGATAACAGGGGCTTGTTGACAAAGCAAATTCACAGGACGCATCATTTTGAAATTAGATATCAGATGCGAAACGTGCGATTCCATTAAAAAAATATTATTCAGTCGTGTTGACAGAAGGTAGCAGCAATCTTACCCCCTGTATTCAATATATTTATAGATGCATCCTGCTATTAGCATCGCTACCAGGGCATAATGCCAGGATGACATGAACATCAAGGCAAGGCATAAGCTCATCCCCACAAAGGACATTGTCCTGAAAGAATAAGAGGAGAAATGTCAGTTAACACGATGTTTTTTTGAAAACGTGGATGAGCAGGAGAGCATTTCAGAGGAAGTCATTCTGCACTATGCGTTCCAAATAGCAAATACCATGACATGTGCTAGGTGCTATTCTGCTCAGTTGGGTAAGTTACATGGACAGGCACGTGGCTAAAGAATGTTTGTGAAATGGAAAATGATGTGCATCCCACACCAGGTGTTATATGATGCATCATAGGGCCCAAGAGGTACTAGACAATAAATCGTCCCATATAATGGGCATTACTCACTCTCCCAATCTACACTCTTGTGTCACTCAGTGGTTGATTTCACTGCACCCCCAGGCTCCTGATGAGCAACAGCTATTTCTGTACAGTATTATTGCAGAATCCTGAATGACGCTGTGAATTTGCTACACTCACCAACTCTGTCTCTGTGAATGGTTGGAATTTTTCAGAGACCTTTTTGGGTGTGTGCTTGTATGTTAACCATATACATTTACAGCACAGAAGAAGGCTGTTCAGCCCGTGGTGCCTGTGCTGGTTCCTTGAAAGAGCAATCCATTAAATCTAAGTTACCTGTCTTTTTCCTGCAGATTATTCGTTTTTAGATATCTATTTTTTTCACCTGCAGATTATTCGTTTTTAGATATCTATCTAGTTCTTAAAAGTTACTGTAGATATTTTGTATATTTTGAGCGTTTCACCCACAAAATATTCAGTCGATTCACTTTACATTATATTCTGTACAGCACTTTGAGACGTCTCAATGATATGATGAGACGCTATATCAATGCAAGGATTATTATTATTATAATAGATCCTTCCGCATCCTAAGAGTTCTGTTTCTCCAGTCACTGTCCATAGTCAGACCACTCATTCCTCCTATCATCATATTAAATCTCTTCTGCTCCCTCTCTGTGGCTCTGACTTCCTTCCTAAAATGGATGATAGAAACTGGACAAAATACTCTACCTGCAATCTAACTAATGATTCAAGTAGATTAAGCATCATCTTTTGGCTTTATGTTCTATGCCTCTATTTATAAAATCTAGGATCCTATTAGTTGTTTTCCTAGCTCTGTCCACCTGCCTTCTTTAAAGATTTATATATTAATCTCTGGGTCTCTCTGCTCTTTGCCTTTTATTTAAGTATATTTAGTGTATAGCTGCTTTATTCTTCCTCCCAAAATGCTTAACATCAAACTTTTCTACATTAAATACATATTTTTTTGTGTCTGTACATATATTAATATATATAGTGTATATATATAGTGCATCATATATGTATCATACCAATGATAGTACTTGAACCGTGGTCGCCAGTTGGGCGTTCGCAAGAGTGTCTGCAGGGCACAGGCCAAGTTCACAAACATGTAGCACATCAAAAAGAACCTGAAAGAAAGAGATACCACTTTGTTAGTCCTCCATAACCAGAACTAAGTGCATGTCAGACTTTGTCACATCCACTTCTGGCTCCTAAAATCTCTTCAATTAACCTTACTATGGTGGTAGGTCCATCCCAGTGTGTGCTGAGTTGACTGATTTCAGTCGGACACCAGGAGACGTTCTGCAATTGTCCAAGGGGTTTCCCATTACCTTTGGTAATAGACCCTTGTGCATTAACAAACCTTCTCAAGACCATCCTCTTTGATCATGCCTTTGGTCATCCTCCCATCCCCACTTGCCCCCCACCCCAGTTGCAAGCCCTCGCCTTCGGACGTTCTCCTGACGTAAATTGCACTATACAAATGCAATGTTCTTGTTGTAGTATTAACAGTGTGAGAAATTCAGGAAAACCTACAGATAATGAATAATCTCAGTTTTGTGCTGTGTTTATCTGAGATATTTTCAGAGATTCCCAGCAAGACGCTCACTATAAATCAGGGCTAAGCAGCGCAATGCACACCCACCAGAGTTTCAAAGGGACCTTTATTTTACTGTTATTAAAGAGTTGGTCACATTATATGCTCACAAACAACACTGTCACTCATGTCTGGAGATTCTCACTGAATTTTTTTGGTTTGGGGATTTTTTTTAAAAAAAAGAAAAGGCTTCCAAGCGTAATACATAGCAGAAACAAATATTGGGCCCCTGCCTCACATCACTATGGGGACAGGAGTTCTATTGTATTATTGCCAGAGATATGATAATAATCCTTGCATTTGATACAGCGCCTTATTACATCTTTGAGACGTCTCAACGCGCTTCACAGAATATACTGTAAAGTGAATTGACTGTATATTTTGTGGGCGAAATGCGGCAGCCAATCGCGCACAGCAGCGTCCCACAAACAGTCGTGGATTTGAGTGACCAAATTATTATTATTATTATTTTGAAGAAAAAGCAATCAGCCAATCAGTCAATGAATCAGAAAAGGATGGAAAAATTTAATATTTCACAAAATATTCCACGCAATAAATAAACCTCCGTACTAAACAGTGCTGGGCAACCTGCCCTTCCCGTAGCATTCCTCAATCATTTTCCGACTGCAAGAGCAGAATGAAACAGGGTGATGTTATGGAGTCTCACAGGAAGCATTGTGTAATTGATAGGGAAAGAAACTTGGGAGGGGCGTACTGCACAGCAATGTTACAAACAACCGTGAAGTGAATGACTAATTTTATCTGCAGGATTGCTGGTCGGGACACTGGGAGAAACTCCTTTCTCTTTTCAAATAGTGCCATTGGATCTTTAACAACCACCTGAACAGCAGACAGGACTTTGGTTTTACTTGCCGTCTGAGTGACAATGCCTCTAATAACGCAGCACATTCGTAGCACTGCACAGTGCAACCTAGAATGGCAACCTAAACTATGAGCTCACAGCCTCAATGTTCTGACAGAGACTTCTTCTGACTCAGAGGTGAGAGTGCTACTATCTGAGTCAGACTGACAACTGTAATGATAAACCCAAGAGCTATGGGAACTGGATGCCTTGGAAATGTCAGCATGGATTAAAGACAAGCCGTAAGTTGGATGAGGAAAGAATAAGACACAATACAAAATTACATTGATATCACACCTTTCACGTTGGGGGGATGTCCCAACATCACTGCCTGGACAACTGAGCTAGGGAGGGAAAAGATGTCTAAAAGTGGGGTCAGAGAAGTACAACACCACCTTGCATTTATATAGCGCCTTTCAAGTGGTGTTAATAATTGTTGTGTCTTGGAAGTGCTTAAGAGGCAAGTCTTAAGATGGACTTTGAACAAGGTTAGTTAGGAGGCAAGTCAGAGGAACTTCAGAATGAAATTTCAGAGAGTGGGGGCAAAAAGGCTGAAGGTCCGACCTTCGATGGTGGGGCGAATAGAGCGGAGGACATGACACAGGCTGGTGCTCACTGAGTGAAGAGATCAGCAGGGTTGGTGGGATTTAAGGAGGTCGGAGAAGTGAGGTGAGATATATATTCACAAGAAAGCAATTGTAAAAAAAATCACCTCTGGTGTACTTACATGGAGAGAATTGGGGCCACATTGTCCAGAGAAGCGATGAGAATGCCTATCTCACAAATACAAGCTGTGAGTAGCAATGCCCAAGTTGGTTCTCCATTAGCTTTACCATGCCCAAAAATCTGGTTAAAACACAGGGACATTTGCATTACTGAACGCAATATAAATAAATAACTGCATTTTATAATTTATTTATGCACCTTTTTTTTTCCTCTCTACCAATTCTCTCAGCTTCCTGAAATGTTCCTGACCACCCCTACCAAACCCCCCCCCCCCTTCCTTCTATTGAGGTACAGTTCTGCAAACACTGGTCACTCCCCAGTATCGCGTCCAAGTGGTCACTATACACCCATCGGCCTTCAGACTGAATTAGCTCATCTCAGCCTGGGCTGATGCATGGAGCCTTATGCTAAGCGATATTCATATCCATTCGGAATGTTTCACAGGCTTAAACTGCACCAAAGAACAAGTTAACGAAAAATACAACAACGCTGCTCACTCCTCAGGCCTGCGGGTTACAGAAAATAATCGTCTTGTGATGTGAACATCAGAGCTCACTCTAACAATCTACACCGTCTATAACACTCACCCGAAGGAAGGGGACAATCCCATCACGGGCAATGGCCTGCATTAGCCGAGGGGCCCCGGTTAGGCTCTGGAGACCAGCGCCGCAGGTTGAGAAGAACGAACCGATCACAATAACCCACGGAGAAGGCCAGGACAAAGTGCCAATCACAAGGTTTCCATTTACTGCTTCACCAAACCTGGAAAAAAGGTACACATTTTTTAACCTCCTTTTGGTAATGAATGACACGGCACACTTTTATTTTGAAACACCGATTCATTCGGGTAAAAAAGATATTCGGGACAAGCTAAAAGAAACAGGTGGCCTCTTTCCTTTGAAGCAAGTTTTCTGTAAGATCTCTTAAGAACCACAGAAAAGAAACTTCAAAGCTAAAACTGATTCACCAATTTGCCAAGTTGTGGACGTTCTAAAATGCAACATAAACAGGAAAATCTAGACCCTAGACCCAGTTGGAATTTCTCCCCAGTGATGTGATAATACCATCAATGATAATTCTCCCTCCCACCTCTCTGCCGGCCCTCCCCCCTACACCACCCCTCCCCCATGCTCGGGCCCCGACATTTGACTGTTCAGCGCTTTGGGACGTCCTCCCGATGTGAAAGGCGCTCTATAAATGTAATTTTGTTGTTGTTGTTCTCATATCACATGTCACAATCTCCATATTTTCTCCCTCTAAGAAGAAGCAGCAGGACTCCGAATGTTCACAAAGAGTGATTTAATGATTAGCCACCTCCTTTCAGACACTGATACAGATACAGAGGACACGAAAGCAGGGATTATGCAGTGGCTGGTTGAAGCAATTGGATTCCCGGCAAATGGAATCAATCTAAACTGAACCTGATCTTCTGTACTGTTTACTTCTTTTATCTTGAACCATTGGACGCAGCAGAAGGTATCGAGTTCCAAGTGTGACAAATACAACAGCGTGTATAACACATACATTGGTCTGTTGCACTGAATACGATACTGTTTATTCCACTGAATGGTTTGTTAAAGTATTGGCATAGGTCTCGTTCAGAGGAGAAATGGAAACTGTGAAGAGGTGCAACATTTTTCAAAAGCTTGAAAAATCTCCAATCTTAACCCTTTTCAGCATCTGTGCTCTCACATTATAATAATAAACCTTGCATTTGATATAGCGCTTTTCATGTCTTCTAGACGTCCCAAAGCGCTTCACAGAATATACTGTAAAGTGAATTGACTGTATATTTGTGGGCGAACGCGGCAGCCAATTGCGCACAGCAGTGTCCCACAAACAGTCGTAGATTGAAAATGACCAATTTATTATTGGTTTTGGAGGGATTATTATTAGGCATGTGGAGTAAGGAAACTTGCCCAAGGTTTCATCCTGTCTGGAATTGAACTCAGGTCTCTCGCTTACAAAGCGAGTGCTCTAACCACTGAGCTACAGGACTCCACAAATACAGGACTCCACATTAGTCGATCACTATTAGTTCCACTGATATTTGCGAAGCCAGTCATGTGAGAGCAAAGGCAGAGTAACAGTAGCACCCCCTCCTCTCTGCTGACACCCCAACCTTTCACCTACGGTGACGGTCTCTAACAGTAATCGTACATCTGCAAGAGGCAATGGCTTGCACATGGGGAAACTCTTGCAATGGTTCCACAAGAGCATTCTGTTGATCCCCGTAACTTCCCCAGTGACTGAGGAATCTGTGCAAGAGAACGGCAGCAAAACCACTTTATGAACAGGAAACCTTTGACCCCTTTGCTCTGATGTTAGCTGTGGCTCCGGCCTCTTTTCCTACTCTGGCCCTGGTAACTTTTATGTTCACATTTCAGACAGCAAGCTAAGGCACAATCGGAAACCACTGCTTTTGGTGGTGCTCACTGTCACTGTGCCAGCGAGCCTGTTGCTGAATTCAGTGAAGCTTCTTCACACAGAGGGCTGTGAGAACTTGGAATAATGCACCCACCCAGAAGGGCTTGAATGGAGAATAACGTGGCAATTGTGACCTGTGTAAAACAGTTGGAAAGTGCTAATTTCAGCCTCCCTGGTCAGACTGGGAAGTCTCAATTCAGACTGGTGATGTCTGAAAGCCGGAGAACAGGTAAGCCAGGCAGCCGCACGGAGATGACATTTTGCTTGTTCTCCAGCCTTTACTTAAAGTTTGCAGCTATTGGACATCACTGACCTCAATCCAACTTGCCCGCTGTTCGATGAGGCTTAAAAGGGCTCCTCTCACTCCTTCAATAGACATCGCAAATTAGACCCCAAGCAATTAAGGAATTTAAGAGGGAGACAGATAAGATACTTGAGAAGTAAAAGGGTTGAAGCTTGTGGGGGAAAACAGAATGAAATAGGATTATAGAGAAAAGGAGCAACCATAAACTAATGAATTGGCGGAGAAGACTTGATGGGCCAAATAGCCCATTCCTGCTCCTACATTCTTGAATTTGCAATGTAAACGGGTTCTAAGCAACTTACTGACAAACCAACAAACAAAACAAATTGTACAACAACTGCTGCTCTATACATAGAACCCTGTATGCTGCTCACATATCAAACAGATGAGAGCATAATGCCTTAGCAGAGAGGCCGATACGTTCATGGCATGTCTGTTCAATTTTCCAATTATCTTTTAATAGACTAGGAGCAAAAATAGAATTTCCGACACAATAAATCAAGCTTTCAGCTCTGTCATCCTCATCCATGACTCTTGGCGCATGTCAATTATTAAGCTGAGAGCCTTAACCGTGAAATGAGAGACCTGATCTAATCATTTGTGTCAGATAGCTGCACAGTCAGGCACTGATAGAGAGAGTCTGTATCCGTCTAGTATTGATACTCCTTTGAAGATATCAAAGCATGCATACTTACCACCGTACACTCTGCAAAAGCACTTCCTATTAATTTATCTTGCAAATGACAAGTAAAACCAAAGAAACATTAAAAATCAACTAATTATATTTAAAGTGAACATACTGAAAATTCTATTTTGATAAGTGAAGCTATCACTAGAGGGGTTATTCTCTGCTTGTCAGTGCGCTCTTGCACTGAGCAAATTCTGCTCTAGCTGCACACTGCCAAGAGTTGTAACTTTACTGACAAAAGTTTAATATGTGCTGTGGACCAGACGCAGACAAGCAGAGAATATTCCTCTTCACAGCCAAACAAATCTTTATATTACACACATAGCTATACATATTGTGCGAGCCAGTTACAATTCTATTATTCAATCATCGCAGTTAAAAAAGTGGATTAGATCCAGATGAAGCCTGTCTTTGACCCTTTTGATCTCGATGCATCTTTACATTACATCCTTTTTTTTGATCAGCCATGTGTTGGACACATGCAGAAACCCATCATTGTGCTTCAGAATATCCAAACCAAGCAGAGTTCCAAGCATCCCACCTATACATGGAAATTCCCACTTATTGGAATGGAATGCGCACTTTCTCCCTGGAGGAATGCATCCTGTTTACCTAATTCCGGAAAGTTTTAGGTGCAGGTTGGCAAGAGCCAAGGCTTGGGGACCTCAGAGTGTGTTGAGGGTACTGCTGGAGTCTAACCAGCACAAACCGCAAAGCTGGCCACTGACAGAACTGTCTGGCAAGGTTTCCAGCTGCTTGTCCAGCTAGGACCACATTACCTGTTGGTTAAGACTTTGCTTCCAGGGTTAACAGGAGCTGAATGGAAAGAGCCCCTGCCCCCAATGACTGGTCTGTCAATGAGCCAAGCTGGCTGTGCTGTCATCAGTCGTGCCCTAGAGTACTGCGGACCTACCTGACTCAGGAACTAGTCTACAAGACTACCACAGAGGGTTACCTCGATACAAACCCTCCATTGACAGGCATGCAAGCCTTGTAATACTACGGCATTACAAAATCCAAGATGTTTCTTATAATAATATTTACATTTGATATAGCATTTATAACATTAATGTTATTATACTGGAGTTTGTAGGTTCTGTAATTACCCTATTAAAAAGTATCCTCTTAAGAAGTGACTGTTTATGTATGCAGAAACTGCAGCCAATTTATACAAAGCAAGGTCCCACAAATAGCCATAAACTAAATTAACCATTAATCTTGAGGATTATTGACTTGGACACTGGGAGAAACTCTTCAGGGTATTTTTGAATAAGCTCATGGGATCTTTAACAGATAGCACTACTGCTGTTCTGACCGATTGCTTGTCAAGACATCAAGGCCTGGATGAGCGCTATCTTTCTCCATTTGAATGTCGACAAGACAGAAGTTCTCATGCGTCAGCGCCTTCTCACCTCAGGCGCTGACAGCATCAATCGATTTGGATGAACACTCCTCTTCACGGAGCCCGTGAGGAACCTCAGCAACTCAGCTGTCCTTTAAACCCCACAACCGTGTTGACCCCATATCTGTGCTCTGACCTGTTCACTGACTCTCCATTACCCAGGAAGGTTGAATTCAAGATCCTTGTCCTCACTTTTAAACCCACAACCTGTGCCTAACACTCTCCGGATTAGGTAAGCAGGATATGTCCATCGGGGGAGACGGTGCGCATTCCATTCCAGGCGCAGAGAAATCTCCATGTGTAAGTGGCATACATGGAACTCTCATATCTGGTTTAGTTACTCTTATGCACGGTTTCTGTATGTGTCAGATATCCAACAAACCAAAAGAGAACTGAAGAATACAAGAACTATAGGGTCTAATTTGTGAGATTTGCAAATAGTGAATCCTCTAGATGCACCTCAGGCTGACCCTCGGTAGTTTCACTGACTGATGCCAATTTCAAGGTAGGTGCTTCCCAAGAAAATTAGATTTTGAGGTTGGTAACCAAACCGATGACTAACTGACACACTTGTAGGATTTGCAAGTTACAAGTTACACATCTCGCAAATTAGATCCTTTAGTTTCGGATTATTTGCTGTTTTTTTTAAACTTTTGAGCGGGCTTAAACATGAGTTAATCACTTACTTGTCTCTTAAGACTACACCTTCAATGCATGCTCCAAACAATATGATACACGTCAAGTCTTTGGTTGATTATTAAGGAAAATATGGAACACTATTCAAACCATTTTGTAACATAACATGTACAAGCAAGTAACAGCTTTCATAAAACATGTCCTGGAATCATGACTAGAAGGAGATGTGTTGTCACATCTCCACCAACACCCAATTGGTGGCAGCTCTTCTAAGGTGACCTGAAGCATCGCAAGGGGAAGAGTTAATGCCCAAGCTCATGTCCAGCTCCATCACTTGTTCTCCTGCAAAGGCACTTCTTCCATGCAGCATGCTACACTTAAAAAAAGCCACCGAAATTGAATAACCTTCCTATGACCGGAATGAGCACACAATTCTGCAAACCCTCTCAATAAACCCTCTCAAATTATTGAGGAGAGAAAGTAGCACTGCATACAATGATTTAAATATAAATCAGATTGCTAAAGACACCATAAGGATATTAATTAGTATCGCTCAAATGTTAAAACGTTGTTGCTCAGAACCCTTTCATGTTTGCCTCAGTGTGCATCTCCCCTCAAGGACCTTTGGATTACTATCATGGCAAAGGATACAAACAAAAGAAGTTGTAGCAATTGCTAATATAGTTCCAGTAGGAATAGATTTTTGAGCATCCTTCAAGTCTCCAGATCTGTTTGAACCAGCCATTATTCCTGGGAAAATAAAAGGTTTCTCAGTTAGAATCAAGTCCACTGCTCTTTCATTTACACTATGCATAAGCACACTCTTATACGATTCCGTAATTTCATTTTTAAATCATGGTTAAATATAATCTCCGTTTAATCTCAATAACCTTTGTTTGCTGTCGTTCATTTGCATAATTTCTATAGAGATCCACAACCTCCCTCAAGCTCTGCTGAAGTATTAATCTGTATTGAGATAATGAGCAGTAATCACCCATCATCAAGCATACATGAAAGAAAAGCAGGTCAAAATGTAGTTTTTGGAAAGGCCAATATTATGTGTTTAAACATGTGTATGTTCGTGCGTGTATGTGTGTGTGTGCACTCGCGCATTTATATGTGTGCATATAAATATATTATATATATATATATGTATGTGTGTGGGATATTCCCATCCAAAAGGTGCTTTGTGAAAACCCATTGTACTGCAACTCCAGGCTGGATGAGATTGAATCTGTTGATGTATTTCCGAGGTCCTGTTTACTCTGTCTGACTGTGACTGTGAGAAAGGATCTATATCGAACAACAACAAGGATTTATATAGCGCCTTCCACGCCGGACGGCGTCTCAGAGCGCTTTACAGTAACGGATCCGGGGACCGAGCCAGGGGGAGGGGGAGGAAGGTGACCAAAGGCGAGCTCGAAAAGAAAGGTCTTCAGCAGAGACCTGAAAATGGGGAGGGAGCAAGACAAAGACAGTTCCAGAGCCTCGGGGCATAGTGGCTGAAGGCACGGCCACCGAGGCTTTAGCGGAGGACTCGGGGGACGAGGAGGAGGCCAGACCCGGAGGAACAAAGGCATAGGTACTGTTTTGAGGAGAGAGGAGGTCAGAGAGGTAGTGGGGTGCAAAGGAATGCAGGGACTTGAATACAAGGGTGAGGATCTTGAAATCAAATAAAACTTGCATTTGATATAGTGTTTTATCATGTCTTTGCAACGTCTCAAAGCGCTTCACAGTATATTCTGTAAAGTTAATTGACTGTATAGTTTGTGGACGAAATGCAGCAGCCAATTGCGCACAGCAGTGTCCCACAAACAGTTGTGGATTGAGTAACCAAATTATTATTTATTTTGAAGGAAAAGAGTTCCGCCAATCGATTAACAACCGGGTTCCAACTTATTGCTAAGTAAATAGAGGCGTGTGTGTGGATTAAGGAAACTTGCCCAACGTTTCGCCCTGCCGGGAATCGAACTCGGGTCTCTCGCTTGTGAAGTAAGTGCTCTAACCACTGAGCTACAGGACTCTAGACAATCCAGGTAATGGAAAGCCCATGATCAGATATTCTCGCTCCTGTCATCCCCACACCACCAGTGGAGTCTAGCTAGAATTCATTTTTCCAGGGACCGGATGTGGGGTAGGAAGGACAACTGTGAAGGAAGGACAGCCTAGGCGTCAGGACAGGAACCTGATTCCTAGGTTGTGCACTGGTTCGGTGAGACTATGAGGGATAGGCCGGAGAGGTTGAGGAGGTCAGAGCCACAGGACAGAAGAAGACAACGTTAGTTGGGAGGTACTTTATCCGGTGTTCACGCCATTTTTAAGCTGCAGCATTTAGGTCACATGAACATCAATAGTTTGTTTCAGGAAAGTCTGATTTGAATATCAGCTTTCATCTCCCGAGCAATGAAATGATGATACACGGAACGGAGGAGAGGGGAGGACAAGTGGGGGGGGTGGGAAGAGGCAGCAGGATGACAAGTTGGGGGGCGTGGAGCGGGGGGAGAGGAAGAACTGCGATAATCCATTAAAATCTCTGTAACTCGATCCCAGAGTCCCTCCATCTGACCTCTCCCTTCCCACCTTTAAAGCCCCTGCTTTCAGAACTTCTTTTCAACTAGTTTTTGGTCATCTTTAACTACCTCCTTCCTCAGCTCTCCCCACCTCCAGCTAGGCCTACCATCAAGCTCTGTGGAGTGCTTTCAGATGTCTTCCAAACAGTAGAGAAGTTATACAAATGTAAAATTGTTGTCTGTTGTTGTATACACCTTACAGCTCCTTCTCAGTCCCACAGATCTCACCTGTGACAGAAGGGAAGTAGATGCCAAGCAGCATAGTGAAGTAGGTAGCGATGTCACTGAACACGTAAGGGAGGCTGGGGTCTGCTGTACTTTCTGAGCCAACGATAGAAGGTAGTCCTGGCTTTTCCAAGAATTCTCCTTTATCCCCATAAAAACTCCAAACATTCACTGACAGGAAAAAGGAAACAAAAGGTTAAATAAGCAATCACAAATGTGATTCAGGTGGAAAGGTCGGGAGGCCAAAGGTTTTAAAAATTGCTCGTGTCCAAGACTGTTCCAACACATTGTTGTTCAAATAAAACGACAGTAAAAGCGCGGTATATTCACAAGGCCGATAACCGCACAGGAGTTTAGATCAAAGCACCACGTGATGTGACACAGAATCCTCCAGATCTTCTATCCTTTACGTTGTGATATCTGGCTTCAGCTTGCGATGTGATAAGAAGTGACGATTAGACTCAACATCCACGGCCTTAAAGAATCGTGGGAAGGGAAGAAAATTAAACAGAGTTCTGGCTCCTGAATGCTAATTCGATGACTGCTATGTGAAGTGAACACCAGGCGGGGACAGGATCAGGTTTAGTTGCCTTGACCCCGGAATCCCCGACACTCACTTTGACTGAGGTACTGGAGGGGAGGCTGCCAACACCAGGGAACCCGTTGCTCAGGTGAGCCGTCTTGCTGGTGTTGGGGATGAATATACGTTGATGGGAAGGACCAAGCTGAGCAAAGTCACAACAATTCTGGAAAACAGAACATTGTACAGCAGGAATCGAGTGCGATTTCTCACAGTGAATTCTTCAAAATGTTGCAGAACAAAGATTATTCACTGAAACAGGATTTATGTGTTTGTCATTGAATTGTATGTCAAACCCACTGCTGTCTTGACATAACAATTTCAACTCCCAATTCTGTATGCTCCTGAGGTCTTACATTACACTTTATCTAACCAATTCTTAGCCAAAGATACTTCAGTATACGAGAACATAGGAACATAGAAAACAGAAAAAGCAGGAGGCCATTCAGCACAATGAGATTGTTCCACCAGTTTATTATTTCTTGGCAGAACTTTTAATAACAACCACAAAGTAAGCAACCAATTTTATTTGGGAATGGTTGACCAGGGCGCTGAGAGAAACTCCCATTTCTTTTCAAATAGTGCCATGGGATCTTTAATGTCCAGCTGAACAGGCTGATGGGGCCTATCTACCTGCTGGGTCAAGGGGAATTAGCTATTAGTAATTTACGATGTAATTTAGCTTTAAAATTCATAATTGAAATTGTACTTCTAAACAGTAAATGCCCACCAGAAGCACAGATTCCCTTCTTCCCAAGTAAGTAGATGGTCTGCGTTACTCCCGAATGATAAGAGCTCCCCAGTTCAATGTTGATAGGAATTCTCACGTCAAACAAATAAGGGGGAAATAATGCAACAAGTCATGTGATAATTATCAGCAGTGACATCTCCCTCCTGCCCCTCTGGCATTAGATCAATAGTTGGGCCAAATGCCAGCTCAAAAGTTCTGACTGTCTTTAGTTTTGTTCTTATCAAGGCTGGAGTTAGTGCCTTTGTTGCCCACGTGCCAATTTCATTTTCAGTATTAACTGGCAACAAGTATAAATTTCTCCCCTACCCAATGACTGGGCCTGAAGCCAGCTGAGAGAAACTCCCTTCTCTATTCAAATTAAGCTGTCAACAGGCATTCAAATGCTGTTATAGGAGTTGCCAGCAGTGTTCAAGCGCCTGTTGACAGCTTAATTCGAATAGAGAAGGGAATTTCTCCCAGTGTGCTGTGCGCAAATTGGCTGTCACCTTCGCCTACAAAATACACAAGTCACACCTCATTTCAGTAACATCCTGTGTAGACCTTTGAGACACCTCAACAATATAAGACACTATATCAAATGTAAAATATACTATTACTAATTCAAATTTTGATGTTGAGTTAAGAAGGCTTCTGGGGAAATCAGCATTTGAATGACATGAATGCTATTATTGTTGCCAGCAACTCCAATGATTCACAGCAATACATTTCCCTTCCTCCTGATAACAATATCCTGGTTCAGTTGGTAGCGTGCTTGCCTCTAAGTCAGAAGACTGTTTGTGGGACATTGCTGTGCGCAATTGGCTGCCACGTTCACCCACAAATATACAGTCAATTCACTTTACAGTGTGTTCTGTGAAGCGCTTTGGGACATCCTCCCAACGTGAAAAGCGCTACATCAAATACAAGGAATATTATTATTATAATCCTGCCTTGGGGATTTGGAACGCACCATCCAGCCTCTTGATTCAGTGCAAAGTTGTGAGAGCCCTGTACTGTCATCTTTCAGATTAGATGTTGAACCCGGGTCTTGTCTGCCTGTTCAGATGGAAGTTAAAAGATCTCCTGGCAATACTTGAGAAGGGAGTGTCTCCCCATGTCATGGCCACCAATCTTCTAGTTAAATCGGCTATTCACTTCATGGCCGATAGTGTTATCTTTGTTGTGTGTAAATTGACTGCCCCATATACAGTCACAACTACACTTCACAGAAAAACTCTGAAATGCTTGGGTATCTATTGACGTAATAAGGTGCCTACATCAAATGCTGCACAATAATTATTAACAACTTTAAATTATTTAAAACCAGGAGTGTATCAAAACCTAAGATGCTGGAGTTGCTTTGCTCTACGCAGGCTCAGTTTTGAATTATTATAACAATATCCTTTGCAGACCACAAAGTAGGGCTGAAAGCACAGTGTGCTGCTTGCACCTGTGGGACACCCTCTAATCCAGAGTAAACGTATGGAGCTTTGACGAGTGAGCTCATCTCCAGGTCAGTATATGTATGGGCCCTGCCAGAGTGCGAGTTAAACATGGGATTTTCTCCATTGTTACTTGACATCACCCAACGCTGGAAACTCTTTACCCTTGACAGGCAGACTGATGAATACTCACCTTTTATCACATCACTTGCTATCCCGGGGATTCCTTGAATTTTTGTGACGTTGTTGAGTGCAAAGTATTCGTTGCATGTGGCGTTGAGTAAGGGGCTGTCACAGAACAGCTGCCAGAGCCGAGTGGTCACTGTTTCATTGCCTTCAGTTACAAACTTGGCACACACATCAAAGTCACGCGAAGACAGCGTCCTGTTTCCAAGGAGACAGATGCTGGGGTGGTGGAGGAAGGGGTCAGGGAGGAAAAAAGAGAAAAATACACTAAACAAAACAGCACAACGAGAAATATGATAGAAACCCCAGCTCTTGCCAGGGTTCACAGATGTAGAACGGAACAGTTTCAAGATACTCCCTCTCACTTTCAAATCACTTCACACCCTTACATCTATCTCTGATCTGCTCACACCCCACTCCACAATCCTTCGCTATCACTCATCTGGCTCGGGTCTTCTGCATGTCCCTCGTCTCCCTCTGCTCCACCAAGATACTAACCGTCTAAAGGGTGCTATATAATAATAATACTCCTTGCATTTGATATAATGCCTTACCACATCATTGAGACATCTCAAAGTGCTTCGCAGAATGTACCGTAAAGTGAATTGACTATATATTTTGTAGACGAATTGCCACTAAGTTAGAGGACTAATAGCAATAGATCGAGTGGCCTCCTTCTGTGCTGAAAATGTTTAGGTTTCTATGGTGTCTCCTCCATAACTAATGTAATGGGGTCCTGATTGCTCTTGGGTATATCTGGGATGTGACAATCCAGTGGCCTCAATTATTTAGGCCTAGAGGGAATGGAAGCATTCTGACATGAGGGCTCCCATTGATGCTACGGAGGAATCTGGGTAAATTTCATGGTGCATTCAGAGTCTTGATTAGAGGCTTGATGGAGTGTGGAGAATTATGCCTGGAAGCCCATCAACTGTGGGGGGGATAGGGCTTCCATCCATCGCAAATTTCCGGTATTTACAAATGCCAGTGTTGAATGGAAGAAATACAAGGATATGTCTTGTGGTGATTTGCTTCATTGCCTTTGCAGAAACATTCCTCAAGGCCTCAAATAAACGGAGTAGAGAAAGAGGGAGGGAGGGTAGCAGGGAATAATACTGGCACAGTTGGATCTTTTTGAGAATGTGATAATTATCACAAATAATAATGATCCCATCACATCTCGCAATGTACACTTCATTCAATGTATACACAAATCTTCGAACCATTAGGTAACGTATTAGAATAGAGTTTAGGAAGATTACTATTTAGTCTGTATCATCAATACTAGCAAATTCCTTTCACCCTTCCTGTTCTTACATGAAACATTATGAAATGAAAGTAATGTTTGCTTGAAATGGTTCATTAGGTTTGGCATTCTCAGGGCACAACATATTTTAATTTAAAAGAATCAATGCAACTGAATCACGGTTAGTTAACAATACGCTATGTTGCACAAAGATCAAATGTATGCTTCTTTCCATGCACACACATTCCCAATACCAGGAGAGAGAGGATCATCATTCAGAAGAATATAAGTTGGGGAGGAGAAATTGCAGCCATCAAAAATTAAATTGTTTCTTGTCTTTTTGTTAGCTGAGGGATGGACACATACATAAACCCATCGCAATGCTTCAGAAGTTCCAAACTAGATAATCTTTTGCCAGCTACAAATGGAAATGTCTTTGGCAGGAGTGTCTCTCTCCCTGAAGGGACACAAGGTTGGCAAGAACCAAGACATTCTGGTAACTGTTGGGAGTTTAACCAGATAAAAAAGCTCTGACCACCCTACCTATCACAGTTTTGGTTTACAGAGTTAAAAGGAACCAAGTGGGAAGAATCCCCATCCCCAGTGACTTGTCTGCCCTTCCAGGACCTGCTGATGAGTTACACTGGCTGGTCTGGTCATCAGCAGTGCCCTGGAATACTTTGCCTGGCTCAGGAACCAGATTACAACAACAACAACTTGCATTTATATAGCACCCCTCACACAGGGTAGAATCCCAGAGCGCTTTAGAATCTGGAGTGGCCCAGATTACCAAGACCACCACAGAGAACTGGGCTCAATTCTAATATTTTGATACAAGCTTAGAGCCAGCTCAGCTCCAGGGAGATCCCGCTTAAGAAATCTCCCTTCTCCACCGCCCTCCCCACACAAAATAAAACAAGATGAGTCATTTTATTTAAAACTCTAGACAATGCAAGAATCTTCCACGCATCAAGTCTTTTCATGCAACTGTCCAAAATATTTACTTACGGAAAGTCTGGTGGATCGAAGGCAGATTTGATGACACCAGCGTAGATGGCGAGGATGGAAAGGATCACACAAGCTAGGAAAACCAAAGCCAGTTTGTTGACGTACTTGACTCCAACAAAAACCACTGTGACCATCACAATGATGGTGCACGTCCCATAAACTCTCATGTTATTCAGCATGGCCTGGGTTTCTCCACTGGGGTCTTCTGCTTTGAATATAGCTGCACTTGGAACAATGTAGGTCTGGAAGCAACACAACACAATCTAGTTACCAAAACACTGTACAACAGCCTCCTGAGGAGTGTCAACAGTTTGTACCCCAGATGACTGAACAACAGCTCAGTACCAATACCAGTTTCTGCGTTGCAACTTTTTTTGCAAACTGGATTTGTTATTTTAACTATGGAACTCTATCCTCCAATCCATCACAAACTGGAGCTCAGAGTGTGGGAGCAGGGATGGTGAATGCCCGACCACCGATGGTGGGATTGGATTGAAAAATGCGGTGAACCACAAATCAGAAGTTGTCAAAATCCCCCNAAAAAACAACGGGCAGTTTGAGGTTTGAGCCAATACTTAATTTGAATGTTTCCATTGATATTCGTGCTGTTATCTGATGGACAAATCTCCAATGGGGGGGTCTACAACACAATGGGGTAGAAATTCCATCCAGGTCTACATTTATTATTTCTTTCTTTCTTAGCAGAACGTTCAGAATCCACTTAATTTTGAAGCTAATTTTGAAGTAAGTTCTTTAAAGCATCACAGAAAACATGCTTCAAAGTGAAGCTTGTGTATTTGAGAATTTGCCTAATTCTGGATGTTCTGAAATGCTTAAGAAAATTGAGTAAATTTGGACCCAGATGCTAATCACCACCGTTCTTGCTCGGCTTCACTGGCTCCCCCCATCCCTCAGAAAATCGAGTACAAAACTCTTGTTCTCACCTTCATAGCCCTCCATGGTCTTGCTCCCCCCTACCTCACAACCCCATATCAGCCTGTCCACTCCCTCCGCTCAACAGATACCGGCCTGCTTCAGGCCCTCCCCACAATTCCCGCCCCACCATTGGTGGTCAGGCATTCAGCATCTCTGCCCTCACACTTTGGAACTGAATCCTGCAATCCCTCCCCCTCACCCCCTCACTTGCATCCTACGAGTCCCGTCTAAAGACCTTCCTCTTCAAAAGTGCCTTCAGCCACGCTCCCACCCCCAACATGCTCTCAACCCCTCCTGAGGCCAACTCCCAGTTCGGGTTCAAAAACTCTGACTGTCCAGCGCCCTGGGTCTTATTTCGAATGAAGGGCGCTATACAAGTGTAATTTGTTGTTATTGTATTTCTCCCTTGATATCTGTAACAGGAGGTTGCAGATACAAACTCTGGCTGGTAACTGAATGGGCATCATACTGATATGTGAGAACTCAGCTCTTATGTCAACAAACAGCCAGGTACATTGAAGCGGGTTCTGTAGGTTGGTGTGACACACATTCACTTACTGGCAGGAATCGCTATGTTATTTCATCCCCATTGCCAAAATTGACTTAATGTTGAATAGATAAGACACAAATTTCATTGCAAGGGTATATTATATAGAACATTAGATTAGACTGTCTAGGTTTCATTTCACTAATGAATCACGGGAAAGACTGGGATCACTCACTGATGAAAACACAGCAAATTCTACAGCTTAATCATTCCTATCTTAAGATCTATTTAGATTGTTGGAAGCAAAGCAATATTTCTTAAAGCAATAAGGTGATTAAGAGCAGAAAGCCTGATTTATACTTCCTGCTATTAATCACGTTGGTGGGGGCTAAGGAGAGTTCTGCACACGTGAACTAAGCACACGCATAGAACTTGGGAGATTGTCCGTCTGTCTGGTAACTCTGTTAGCCAGCTAGCTGTTTAATAATCTGCTGTCCAAAGAAGTCCTCAACCTCTCCATTGGTATTGGCTTTGGAATCTCATTGCTCAACCCCAATTTATACATTCTAAACAACTTGCATTGATATAATTCCCTTCACGCTGGGTAGGTTTTCAAACACTGAACAAGGCATTAGGTGTATTTTACTGGCTGAACTGTGCACCAGGCAAGTGTACAAGAATATGAACAATGATTTCTACCCTCATTTCAATGGTCACGAACACTCAGTATTGTCTGTTATCCACTTACTTGGGCTCCGGTGTGGGGAGCACAATGGGCTCAATGTGGGGATTGTGCTCCTATCATTGTGTTACTGCAAGTCTCAACTTCTCGGGAATGGGGGGGGAGGGAGAGGAGGCATCCAGGCATCCCTCTAAAAGGGAAGTCTGTGGGACATTCCAGGTGAGGAGTCTACAGGCAGTGAGGACCTTGGGTGAGGGCACAGTTCTGGGAGAGGAACCTCCCTGAACACTTGGGTGATGAGTTTATTTTAGCTAAAACGTTCTCATCAAGTACATCATATCTGGCAAAGCAGCCTTCATTCCCATTCCCATCCAAACTTGCCATTGTGTCACTCTGGACATTTTTTGTGTAGCGTGGTCTAACTCTGCATTATTTCTTGATGTGATTCGAAAATAAGTCATCTTGTGTTGCATTAGGTAACTTATCTGGTTTAGAAATGAAATTAAAAGCCAAAGATTTTCATGCTGCACCGATGGAGAACATCCTATTCCCAAGACAACTCACATCACTTGCCTTTGATTGTAAGGCCCTTCACCAGCTCCTAGCCAGGCCTCTAGGTGGCAGGCTCCACCTTAAGGACTGTGAGAAGTCACAAGATCCATGAGAGGCTTGGATGAAGAAGGCCATTTGGCACATTAATGATCTCATCCAGAATACCAACCATCCAAACTCACTATTGCAGTGTACGGTTGTTTCTTAAATGAGTCCAGTTTCCTGGTCACAACCTCCCTTGCCCTAATTTGCCCTATCGCATACTCGAATCCCTTTCCTGTTTCCCGTTGTCTTGGTGCATCTCAAAGTACTGCTATTATTTTACCCAACTACAATCATATCTCCTGTCAAAAAGACTGATGCATCCATGGTTTCTACTCCCAATATCCCAATACTTAGGATTGCATACACTGTTACAGCACGGAAACAGACAATGGCGTTTTGAGGGAAATGTGCCTGTGGGGTAAGTACACGTGAGAGCCAACACATTTATCTCCTCCCTTTTACATGGATAAAATTTGTATGATATGAAAATATCTGGGTGAGGTGGGAACAAGAGAGGATATTCCCAGACATAATCAATAGTGATTTTGCAAAATATAGACAAACATTTTTTTTAAATATAAAAACATACATGACCTTTCTTTAGAAACAACTGTTTTCCAAAACATTTCAGCCCACATGACAATATTAATGCGCTGTCTGCACCTTAGTGGCAAAGAGCAGCAAGGGCAACTCACCAACAGAATCTCAATGGTTCCTAGGATGTACATGGCTCCAGCGAAGGTGGTTCCGAGGAAGAAGCAGATTCCCACTGCTCCTCCAAACTCGGGACCCAGTGACCTTGAAATCATGTAATAGGAGCCTCCAGCTGTGAAATCAGGAAGAATGTGTGAATAACGCAGGCCTGCCTAGTAAAAGTCTAGAACTGGTTTATCCAGAAATTAATAAACTATCTCGTCAGCAAGTACAAAGTCCTCGACAGTGTTACAGTAATAAAATAGACATCAACCTCTCCTGAATTGAATGCAAAGAAACCGGTACGGTGTTTGCAAAGCTAAGTTGCTTCAACTCATAGTGAGTGTCCCTTTGCAATGTAGTTGGGGGAGGGGATAAGGAGGCAGGTAGTTACTCTACAGGGTTGATGGCAACACACAAACAAATGAGCACATGTGATACGTTCATTTTGAGCATCATGGTTGTGCCTTCAGTTCTGGTGGCTAGACCTTCTCCAATGTTTAGGCATCTCCATGCAGGCCAGCAATTCAGGAACCCCTACATTAAAGGAGATTAGGGGCTTGCGACCACATCAACAACAAAGAGAACAGGTAAACCTTCCCAATATAGTCTCTGGACAATATTCTGTTCTCCTCAATAGAAAAGAACAGCATATACAATGGACAGGGTTTATGTGGGGGGGAGGAGGGGGGAGCTCTGAAGATCCCAACACCAGCAATCTCACCCTTTGTTAACATTAATGTAGCCACCATTTACAGTAAAAGGACAATAAAAGGTCAATATAATTCTGACCAAAAATACAGATCATGTACACTAGGAGATGCCTTTTTTTTGCTTTACTGGAATCTTAATTTACCTGGCACCACACCATTGGTTGCAATAGCACTCATCGATATGGCAGTCAGCAAGGTCTGTGGAGAGAGACTCAGCATTGAGCATTAGCTGGAAATCAGTACAGTAATCACACAGAGAAATCCTCAGCGACAGACAGAAATGATTTTAGCTACCCCTTTCCTAGAGCAAACATATACACACCGTCTCACACACACACTCTCTTTTTCTCTCAAACTCACTCACACACACTCTTTCTCTCTCACACAAGAACAAATTACATTTGTATAGCGCCTTTCACATTGGGAGAACGTCCCAAGGTGCTGGGACATATGCTCTCTCTCTCTCTCTCTCTCTCACACACACACAAAGGTGAAAAATACATCATTGCGAACGAGGTTCAATAATTCCACAGCGTGATCCAAATTTTGAATTTCACAGGATTTGTAACCAGTGACCTCTGGAACTCCATCTGGACACTGACTTTGAGCGAGGGAGTGAGTTGGGAGAGGGAGTGGAGTCCAGAGGGTCAGCAGGAAAGACGTTCAGGATCCTCTGGTTACAAAGCCTGTTGTTAGTCTTAAAATTTAGAACCCAGTGTTTCTCCTTTGGATGGGTTTGACCAAGAAAGTGGAGAGGTTTCCTTCCAATGATGACATTCCTCTTTCGTTCACGTAGTCTGGGCAGAGAATTTCAGATGTAACGCACTAATTCCATCCACACAATAACTGGCTCCCTGTAACAGGTCAATTTATCACGTCCAGCAGCTTTTGTGGGACAAGACTACTTACGCAGGCACAGCACATGAAGACAATCCAGAACGATTCCATGATTCCCGAAGCCCCCACAATCCATGTCAAACGTAGGAATAGGATGACTCCCAGGATGTTCTGTAGACACGGCAGATAGACTCCGATAAAAGTCCCCATTCGAGGAGCCTGGAAGGCATTAGAGAATGAATTAAACCTTGGCTCCAAGCGTCTATCCAATGCTGGCTACATTGAGGTGGTGGATCACAAAGACAGCGGCCCTTGCCACCACTGTGAGATTGATTCCCACTCATCGTATAAACCAACCAGTACCACTGAACGGTACAACGTTCCCATAATTGGAAGGGTGTGCTCAGCGACAAGCGCAGTGCTTAAGGACCTTATTGTGTAGGTGGTGCCTTGGCCATAGAGAGCAGCTTGAAGAAGTGGCCTTGATAAGACATCTGATCACAGTGTTTAAAAGTAGAGTCAAATAGGTGTTCACCTTTAAAGTTCCAATTGACAGTCCAGAATAGTAATAGTAATAGTAATAGTAATAATAACAAAAGGCTACAGCACATTTCATGTCAGGAGGACATCCCAAAGTACCTGACAGGATATACTGTAAAGTGGTTTGAAAACGCAGCAGACAATTTTGCGCACAGCAATGTCCTACAAACAGCAATTAATTACTAATTTGTTGGGGATTGTTGGCTAGGACAACGGTAGAACCTCTCTTCTCTGTTTGGATAGGATCTTTAACGTCCACCTAAACAGCCAGATGGAGCCTCGGTTTATCGCTTCATCCAAAGTATAGTGCCTGCAATAATGCAGCATTGGAGTGTCAACTTGGACTATATGAATTCCAAGTCTCCAAATGGGGATTGAACACACAATAATCTGACTCAGAAGCATGAGTGCTACTAACTAAGCAAGGCTGACACCTTGAAAGATATCAAAATGCATGCTGTAAGGGGAGGTCATCGATTATTGAAGAAGCTGACACTACCAAAAACAAACCTCAGTAACAATCAGAAATACAGTACATGGATATAAAACTGAGATAATCATCTGAAAGTGGCTGAAAACACTTTTCATTCTGATCCACTCTGACCTGTAAGCTCTAAATACAAGACCTTATCGCTGTGTGAGCTGAGGATCAGCAAAAATGTCTCATATCCTACTCACCATTGAGGACAGTAGGCACTCACTCTATCCCTCTTGGGAAGTGCCGTGAACTAGGTCTTGGCTTTTCTTTGAGGCATCAGTTATAGCTGAGACAGCGTCTTATAAAGCCACAGAACTCTAGTTTTAGAACAAACTGTTTTTCCACAAGCCCTTTATCAATACATAGTTTGGATCTATTTATGGACCTGAACAAATCACTTGGTAACAGAAGGAAGAAGACTTTTGGAATGGATAATATTATCATTTTTGGTGTTGACAATGTGATGAAGTAGTGGGAGGGGGTGTGGATGGGAGGATAATACAGTGACTGAAATATTTGTCCTCAGACTGATGAACTAGTTTTTTTTAAATCGGGGGAATGCGGGAGGCAGAAATTGTGGGAATCTGGCGCTAACACTGCATGTGGAATGCTTGAAGCGTGTCAGAGTCTCTCTTCAACAGCATCCACGATACTGCACTTTACAGTAATCATGTGAAGCACTTGGGATCTTTAATGTCCACCTGAAGAACAGCCAGATGGGACCTCAGTTTGGAATACTTTAACCAAAAGGCAGTGCTCACCAGCACTGCATTGAAGTTAATAAAGGCTCAGTTGCTAACAGGGAATCCAGTCAGTTAATGCCACACAAAATTGCAGAACTTTGGAGTAGGAATTGCCTGTGAAGCACTGCCAGTTTCCAGCTGAATCTCTGTTAAAAGGTTTGTAAATCCTGTTGTGAATTTCTGCTGTTTAAACAGCAAATAAGAACCCTTACTAATTTCTGTATTGCGATAAGGCAGCTACGTATATAAATCCATGATTTATTTCACAAAAAGTACAGAGTAAAAATAAACACAACGCAAAGAACATTTGAATCAGATCCCCATATATCTGGTGCTGACTGCCCTTGTGCTTGCTCACGATGGAGCCACACAAATTCAGACAGTCTCCATGCTCCACAATACCTTGTCACAGCATATCCCATCCTGGGTTCTTAAACAGAAGTAATCTAAAGTATCACATATTCATTCTGACCCCCTGCACTGAAAGCATTTTAAAATAAATGCTTTATTTGTGTCCGAAGATAAGATCCACGCATCAGATCATTTTCTTTAATATAAAGTATAAGGCTTAATTGTGGCACCCATACAGATTCATATGTCTCAAGGCAGTCAGACAGAAAGCATTTGGTCAGAGCTATCCTACAAATCCCAACAATAGCAGCCTAATGTCCGCCTAAGGTGAAAGGGCAATGCATTTACCTTAACCTCTTTCTTTTTGGGTCCATCATTGTTTTCCGCCTCTTCATGCTCCTTCACACCTTGGGTGAGGTTCGTATAGTTTGCCAGTCTATTGAGCAGGGAGGACACCATTGGGTTTCTGTCCAGTTCCTCCTGTTGGTCAGAATTGGGAGAAGAATATTCCTCTTTTCCAAAATGTTCTTTGACACGTAACCATGCGCTTCCACACCGCAGGCACTGACAGCATCACTGTTCATGCATGCACACTCAACCTCACTGAGCCAGTCCGGAACCTTGTTGTCTTGTTTGACCCTCAACTGTGCTTTAAACCCCACATTCATCCTCCCTACCTCTGCGACCTACTAAAATGTTACCAACCTGTCCGTTCGGCAGGCACTGGCCTGCTCCACATCTCCCGCCCTGCTCGCTCCACCATCAGCTGTCGGACCTTCAGCCTTTTTGACCCCACCCTCTGGAACTCCATCCCTGAACCCTCCGCCACTTCTCTTTAACCTTCTGTCATCCTCCTCCACCCCCTTACCCTCCACTTCCCTCAACTCCAACCCTCATCGCAGGTGCAAATCCTTCACTGTCCAGCACCTTAGGACATCCTCCCGACATGAAAAGGTTCTGTATAAATGCAATCTGTTGTTGTTCTTGTCTCTTTGCTAAACACCCAGACTTCATGGAACTTTGTGCAAAACAAACCTATTATGTTCCCTAGACGTTGAATAACTCTCAGCAATTTTTGACCTTTCTCCCTTCCTCGGTGTTAAATAAGTTTGTTATGCCTCGTTAGCAGAATCAGTACCCAGTCTTTGACAGAGATGAATCAGATTGATATCCAAAAAGCGTGACCTTCTAATTTAAGAGCTGCAATAAATGAAAGAGATCCATTATCAATTTACAGAGAAAACTTTTCTCACACTAACCCAAATTACTAATGGTGAGGAGGAACGAGGATAGGAAAACAAAGGTCAGTTATTGCAAAGTAGAGGAGCATGAGGTGGTGGGGGGTTGAAGAATAGCAACACTGCACACTTTAATTTCACCAATTTGATGATCAGAATTGCATGGAGACTTGCAAGGAGACCAAGACAGGTTTGTTCCCACGTCTATACAGAAATCACAAGTTTGTCCCACTCTTCTGTTTAAAAAAAAGGAAACAAAACCCGTGGGCTGAAAAATGCTGCCCGTGATGTGATAATTACCTCTAGCTAGTGCTAATCATCATATCGTGGATTGCAGTTCTATTCATTGTGCATTTGTAACACATGAAATTGAACCCATCAAAGATTTGTGTACATCAGACCCTACTGAAACTTGTGGAAGTCCAGGTATTCTTTAATGCTGGATTATGATTGTAAATGGAGTGGGTTTAATAATAAAGGAATAAAGTTACCTCATATGGAACATCATTGGATTACACCAGTAGATAGTAAGCCAGTTATCTTACCTCAAAAAGTGCCAAGTTCTTCCCCTCATACATGGTTCCTTCGTCAATATCCGTGCTGTTAATAAATGGGCTGTTTTCTTTGGGAATGCCATCTCCTAGTGTCAGACAAAATAAAATCAATCCATAAGCAATTATCCTTGGTTTCTGTGGGGCACAAATTTAAGATAATCAAAAAGTAAGCAACAACAACTTGAATTTATACGGCATCCTTCACTCAGGGTAGCATCTCAGAGTGTTTAACAATGGCATAGTTTGACCCCGTACTGAGAAGGGGGAGTGGACATGGGCATGTTCAAAGAAGAAAGACTTCAGGTGTGAAGACGGGCAAAGAGGAAATTTTGTTGGCCAGGACAGCAGGAGAAACTCCCTTCTCTTTTTGTGTAGTGCCATGGGATCTTCAATGTTCACCTGAACAGACAGGACAGAACCCACAACCTTCTGACTCAGAGTGGAGTGTGCTACCGCTGAGCTGGACTGATACTTTACTTTTTACAGTAAAGTGTAGTGATTGGGTACTTTGTAGGTGAACACAGCAGCCAATTTGCACACAACAATGTCGTCCAGAAAGCCATGAAGTAAATGACCAATGTTATTTGGGGGATTGTTGCCCAGGACACTGGGAGAAGCTTCCTTCTCCTTTCGAATAATGCCATAGTATCTTTAACATCCACCTGAATGGGCAGCTTCTCACCCGCACTATTACTGCTCATCCGTAACTTAACGTTCTGTTCGGGGTCACCTAGAGCCTGCGTATCACCAGTGGAAGGGAGTTAAAGAGCTTAAAGAAAGACTTTGATTATTCCTCAATTAACAACAAAACAAATTAAATTTGTAAAGCACCTTTCACGTCGGGAGGACGTCCCAAGGCGCTGTCAACATCCCACAAGATAAATGGTAATCATCTGCAATGGAGGTCATTGGGTTTTGAAACGGGTGCTGTTCATGCTCTAAATACGTACTGTCATCTGGAATCATGACCAACTCTGGAGGGAAATAAATCTGTGTCTGAGTGAACAACGTAAATTAATAGTGCACCATAATTATTTTTTTGTTTCTGCTCTTTATCCATGTGATTGCATCGCTCTCGCTCTGCTTTGTGTGTGCGTGTCTCTCTCTCAGCTGTCTATTTGTGTGTATGTCTTGCTCTCCGGCTCTGTGAGTGTGTGTATGTGTGTCTCTCTCTCTCTATGTGGATAGTCAGCATTTAATAAAGCAGCACTCTAGTGTCCAGCAACAAATAAAGGCAATGCAACAGTGCAGAAGAAGAAATTTGGAGGGCATTTGTGCAAAATGCACTTGTGAAGGTAGCAGCTGTGAACAAAACTCACCCCCCAAACTCAGTTTTTCCTTTAACTTCAGTTTAGTAGATATTCTGCTCCACTGCTAAAAGCACCAAATTTGCTGTTTTGCGATGAGTCCATTGTGTCCATTCACAATGTGTCCACTGTTGTGTCCATTCACTTTAGTGAATTTGAATCTTTGTAACTAATTTCAATTACAATTTATTTATTTATTTTTGCAAATGCAGTAGTCACAAACTGTCACCAATGCATTTGGTGCACTAATAGCGACTTAGGTTTGTTACTCAACTTCCATGATTCACAACCAAAATTTGCCTCGAAACATTTTGTGAGGGGGTGGGGGGGGGAAACAAGACAAAAATCAGGGACCTTTAGCTATACCTTATCCAGAAGAGATTACTTCTTCAGCCCATTTACTCTACAACAAAATAGCTTGACTTGGTAGCGTTCTTCATGCGGGGCAGAGTCTCAGCGTACCAACTGTGCCATGTTTCAGCCTGGCTCAGTCAGTAGCACTTTCACCTCCGAATTGAAAGGTTGTGGGTTCAAAACCCCACATCAGGACTATGATCTCACATATTCCAATACAAGGCTGGGGGAGCACTACATTGTTGGAGGTGTCATCCTTTGGATGAGACATTAAACTGCGGTCCCTGCTCAGGTAGATGTTAAAGATCCCAAGGCACTATTTGAAAAGCGAAGGGAGCTTCTCCTGATGTCCAGGCCAACAATGCCCCCGAAATAAAATGTGTCACTCACTCCATGGCCGTTTGTGGGACTTTGCGGTGCTTAACTATTATTATTACTACAACTGTGCAACTAGGTGGTGCCGGGGACAGGCACTTCCCCATTGGAGCAACACAAAACAAGACATCCCAGGATCAAGCCTTCTCATGATCTTCAAAAACATACACAATATCAGTGAACCTGCCACCAATACAACTCAAAGCTCCCATTAAGATACAATTTGTAGTTTATCCCAATTCCCTAGCCAACATTGTGGTCATTAACTTCACAGCTGTGTATAGCAATAATAATCCTTGCATTTGATATAGCGCCTTCTCACACCTTCAAGACGTCTCAAAAGCGCTTCACAGAATATACTGTAAAGTGAATTATCTATTTTGTGGATGAAATGAGGCAGCCAATTGCACACATCAGTGTCCCACAAACAGTCCTGATTGAGCAATCAGAATTGTTAGTATTATTATTATTAAGGGATTATTACCTCATGCAAAGTAATCCGCCAATCGATTTACAGCCGGGTTCCTACTTACTGCTAGGTAAACAGAGCCGTGTGGAGTAAGGAAACTTGCCCAACGTTTTATCCTGCTGGGAATCAAACCCAGGTCTCTCGCTTGCAAGGCGAGTGCTCTAACCATTAAGCTGCAGGACTCCACAATACGGGATATTGCCATGTACAAACTGGTTGCCATAAATCATCTACAAAACACACAAGTCATGCTCTCGATCAAAAGACATTACATCAAACTAAAGATCAATATTAATTTATTGTCCAGCCTTCAATATCACGATTTATTCGCAGTTTTGTTTTTGGTTCAAGCCATTTCAGTCGCAAACTGGTATCGCTCTTAACACAGCGACTTACAGTTTGTGACCACGTGGTGTTCTCAGCCATGTTTCATTGCTGTTTTCACAAAACATACATAAATTTCTTGCACTTAGAATGACCCCTACCTTCACAGACGAAAAACAAGCGGGTGCTTCATCTCCAAAACATGGCATCAATGTCTGCAATATCTGTTGCAAATCTGTTCTTAGAATTGACACCATCGCAAGCAAGCTTGGACTGTACTACATTCCTTTGGCAATTCAGCCACTTAATAATAATCTTTGCATTTGATATAGCACCTTATCATGTCTTCGAGACATCTCAAAGCGCTTCACAGAATATATTGTAAAGTGAATTGATAGTATATTTTGTGGGCGAAACTCGGCATTATTTTTTATTAATATTATTTTATTGGTTTATTTTGAAGGGATTATTACCCTTTCAAATAAAGCAATCTACCAATCAACTAACAACCGAGTTCCTACTTACTGCTGGTAAACAGAGCAGTGTGGAGTAAGGAAACTTGCCCAAAATTTTGCCTTGGCCGGAAATCGAACCCAGGTCCTCTCGATTGCAAGGCGAGCGTTCTAACCACTAAGCTACAGGACTCCATATGATCAACTAGTGACCATCGTCCTTGGGGGAGGTAAGCGGGGTCTCCTTGGAGCTGAACTGGCTCCAAGGTGACCTGTTTGGCAACAGATTATTAGAATTGAGCCAGTCTTCTGTCTTGGTCTCGGTTGTCTGGTTCCTGAGCCAGGAGGGTCTGCAGTATTCCAGGGCACAGCTGGTGACAGCACAGTCAGCCTGGCTCATCGGCAGGACTTGGGAGGGAGCAGGGAATACTCGCACTCATCTCCTGTTGGCCCTGCAAGCCAAAACCCTAAAAGGTAGGATGGTCCTAGCTGGACAAGTAGTGGGACAGCTTGCCAGATGGTACCTTCAAAGGCAAGCTTTGTGGATTGTGCTGATTGAACTCCAGCAGTACCCCAACGCACACTCTGGGGTCCTCAAGCCTTGGCTCTTGCCAACCTGCTCCTAATATTCTCCATTTTCCTCCAGGGAAGAGGTAGTACATTCCATTCCAGATAAGGAAATTTCCATGTGGGGATGGGATGCATGGAACCTTCAGTCTGGCACTTTTGAGCATAGTGATGGGTTTCTGCGTGTGCCAGACACCTGGATGACCAAAAAGTAAAATTTAATTTGTCCACTGGTCACATGGTCCCAATCCCTGGCTACCTACTGGTGTCGGCTGATTGCCAACACCGGATATAGACTTCAATATTCAAGCTTTGGATTTAGAAGGATCCAATTGTCATCCAATATAAATCGGCAATCATCTGTCTGCACGTCCACAGCATTACCGCTTTGTGACTCTCAGCTACAATAATTCTCTCTCATTCTGTTACATATACTACACTGCAGATCTTGTAAAGTGAATCTGATTTAACATTATACTGTACCAGATGGAGTGCTCTTCCGAGGTTAGGGCAGAGTAGACATAGAGATTTTCTATAGGATGTCCTGACCAGCGAGTTCTTCCCCCACCCCTATAAAAGGGGCTTCTCAACTCTGATCGTGCCAAACTTGCGGAGTCTCGTAGCTTAATGGTTAGTGCGCTCGCCTCCGAGAGCACCCCTCAACCAAGAGAACCCCGGCTCGATTGCCTGCCGCATTTCACCCACAAAATACAGTCCATCCGCTTTACAATAGAGTCTGTGAAGTGCTTTGAGACATCTCAACGATATGAAAAGGCGCTAGATCAAATGCAAGGATTATTATTATTCGCCCAAAAAACTTTAGGTTTCTGACAGTCGTTTTATATTTCTGTTGTTGTTGTTCAGCTCTGAATTCTGAAATGACGCCTAATGCGGTTCTGATGTGTGCGTGAATCCTATCACTAGATTATACACAGAGATAAACCCATAATCCTCAAAGCATAGCTAAAACAGAGCTCATGACATCAATGGAACAGTCCACTGAGGGGGAGGAGGTGGATTGTGAAACAGATAGACATTGGAAGTGAATCACTCTATACATTAAACCTCCCAACACTGGACACTTTATTTTATAAAGCAGCCATTGGTATGTTTACGTTATAAAAATAGTTTTTTTTTGCTGGAATGGTTTTCTTTTAAAAATGCACTTTTAAGACCTGGGCTTTTTGTGTCTGGTCTTTTTTGGACACTCTAAAAACAATTAATGTCTGTCAACCTGGTGGGAGCGCAGGAGGCAGAGAGTGGTTCAAGCATACATCCTGAGCTGCTGATCCTACAGTCAGGGCACTGCATTAGCCTAAAAGGTTAGAGAAACAGAGAGACTAGCGTGAGAGAGGGGGTGGGGGTGTGGCATATATAAATAATAGTGATTCAAGTAGCACAAGCGTCCATGCTTTAAACCAAGAAACAGGAATTTCTTTTCATAGATTTTAGCAGTTTAACTACAATAATAATCCTTGCATTTGATACAAAGCGTTATCAAGTCATTGAGATGTCTCAAAGCCCATGTCCATCTTTTAAAAAAAGACTAGGTTCTCAGTCGTCGTCTCAGTGTACCAGTGCGGTGTTCCTCAGATTCTCAAGTGGTTAAAGGTTCTGGGGAAATGAGAGTTGAGGAAGAGGTATATTTGATGTCCCGCTCAAATCACTGGAGTGTGTCCTGACTTGTTTTCAGTTCCAGTGGGATATCAAGAAATGTTTGCACTCCCACTTAATCCAGATCAAATCCCCTGGTGGGTTCTCACGTTTGACATCCTCACATATGGCTGTAGGTATGTAAGAGGTTTTCCAGATAAGCCACTTGTAATGGAAGCACAAACAATGGTAACTGTGTGGCTTACCAGTATTAAGCACTGGCACATTTTACATTC